ATCTGTTTTCCTTCTTTTTTCATCTTTCCCATTTTTCAGGGCAAGGAGGCAAGCACTCCTCTTGTTCCCCCCTCAACAGCCGTGATGTTGTACTTGGTCTGGTACCAAGTAGTGCGTAGGGATTTCAACCAGTGTACATGTACTCTGTCTATGATCAGGAAACATCATGTAGAGCGTACTGAAGCAGTTCTGCTGTTGTTTTGTTTTTATCTTTATGTTTTTTCTCAACAACATGATTGTCTGCTTTGTCCAGTTTCACAAAGAATGGATTACAGTTAAATCAGAAGTAGCTTGTCCTTATATTATTTAAAACTGGCAGAGATCAGCTACATACATGCAGATAATTTAAGAAACAACCATCTTGGTTGAAATCTCAAGCAAGTGTGTCTTGATATTCCTTCCACCCAACGTGTACAAGCAACTCAAGCACTCATTGAAAAGTGGTTGAGGGTAATTGGCAGACTTCACATTCTGAGAACCACACCTGTGGCTTGACATGATGTGATCTGCTGTCTTCTTGCATGCACATCTTTCGTAGGAATTCACGTTCTGCACAGACATCAAACTGCCAGGTCTCCTTACACAATTTCTGGAGGGGATTTTGAGCAGTATAAATCCTTAAGCTGCCTGTCACAATTCCTTCTGCATATACTTCATTGGTTGCATTGGTCACCCATGGTGACTGTCAGACTGTTGGAAGGACAGTCATTACTTCAGGCACTGCCCAAACTGAAAGGAACCGACAAAGTACTCAAGGGCTCTGACTAACATGTTTCCCTCATTAAGTGGAAAACCTGACTCTACGTGTACATGTATGCAAAAGGCTCATTGATTTGTGGTGGTTGCTATGAGGCAAGTGTCTTTTCTCTGGCGTTGCAGATGGGCTGCGCTTGCTCTCGCTCCAGCTTTGTGACATTGGAATAAACCGTGTATTAATAGGTGAAAAGAGACATACATGTACGATGAGCGTCTTCACTCTCGCTTTTCCCAAACTTTTAATGTGTAACACAAATTGCAGTACATATTTTTTGTGCTGTGGTTTCAAAACCGTCCTAATAACTACTGTGGACTTCTTATGCCACACTTGTCTGGAAACCATCAAGGTGTATACTTTTGTTATATTCCTACTGAATGGGTGTAGAAACGTTCCAAGAACTCTGAGATGGGTTCAGCCATTTCCGGCCTACTTGTGTATGCCTTAATGAAACACAATAGCCATTATTGCCCCCAAAGGTATCCATTTATACCCCCTGGGTGGTGAGAGGCAAATAGGGGTAAAGTGATTTGCCTAAGGTCACCAAATATACCAAACCAGCTGCTGGATTTGAGCCTCCAGCCAGCACGTTGAGAGGCTTTCATTTAACATATCTAAACTCTCATTTTTTAGCATGAGACATACACATGCACTGGGTACATTGCTTTGACATTTGTCATGTTTGTACTGACAAAGGTGATATCTCTTGCATTCTTTTTAATCAAGCCGACAGCCTACGAATTTCTGCAGGCGTGGACTTCTCTGAAGCGGCACCGAAGCATGTTTGCCTACGCCGAGCTGCTAAAGCAGATTTCCCCCGATGAATTACCAAATGGTATGGCAACAGGTTTTGATTGGCATTTGGATATTTGTTTTGCTTGTTAAGTTTCATCAGGAAATCTGGCATTTATGGGTACATGTAGCACCAGGATCTGGTAACACCCTGTGAAAGTGAGACACGGGAACCCTGATAATCAGAAAAGTGGCACACTCTCCAAACTTCAAGGAAAAAAAAAATTGAAAAAGGACACATGAAAAATCAAATCAAATTGCCTATTCTGTCTTGCCAGATATACAATATACTCATGAAAATTGACATCTTGTTTCAGAGTTGCATTTAGCCTTATAGTCTTTTGAAAATTTCCTGAGAAAATAAAATTTCTTCAAATTCTTCTTTTTCAATGTCTGAAAACTTCCCAAGGAATTTGTAAACTTGGTTACTGGTACTCAGCTCCATAATTTGGAACTAGTTCCAGACACAAACAGCGGGGGTGCTCAGGTACAGAGAACACGGTTCTGAGGTGCAGCGGTAGATGTTATTGTTAACCTGACCCTACCCAGATTTTCAAAATCTACACTGTACTTTGAGGCTTTTGGAAGATTTGTTGGGATTGTGGAAGGTGTCAAGCCCAGCCACTGTTACTCTACATGTACATGAAGGCTTAGTTGAAGAACAGAGAATTTGGCATTGGTTTCCTGCTCAGTGGAGGATTTCAAAGGATTCAGAAAAGTTCAGAGCAGGAATGCCTGGGAGTTAGATTGAACACTCCAAAAGTAACATTTGTCAAGATCCAGGTAATGAACTAGTTAGATCATTAACATGTTGGTGTGATGATGTGCGGAAGAACTGTGCGTGCGTGTTACTGGTACAGTGGTGCCACCACCCTGTGCTTGTGTGATTCTGGTTACCAGTTTCATAATTCAGAACAACATGGTTGTATTTATTTTGCAGTGTTGACCAACAAACTGGATGGCGACATGCTGGTCAGTATTGTGAAGGCTGTCTGTGAACATCTTGTGGAGTCAGGTAAATGCATATCTCTCATTAACAAGATTCTTGAGGAGAATCTCAAACTTGGAGAAACCTAAAACATAACGATGTCACGCTTTGTTTGCACGTGTGCTTTCCTATGGGAGTTTGATTGATGGCGTCTCATGAGGCATAGGAAAGCGCACATGATGCCATTCTGTTGCAGGCCTGTTGAATGTCGGATCAGTGACAAACTTTTCAAAGATATGTTATAAATGTACACGTGTGTCCTGTAATTCTCTGAAGCACTGGTTCTTCTCCATAAAGTGCCACTTTCAGTGATCTTGGCTATGTTAATTTGAATTTATCAATATTCATGAGTGAATGAGTGATGTCATATGATGCCCGGACATTTGGATGCTACGTGTACATCTGTATAGGTACTGTACAAAATTGTTACATGTAGATATGGCAAGTTTCCAGAGGCTTTCCTCTTTTGTTGTCTCTTAATTTCTTTTATTTTGTTAATTTAGAAATGGAAGTCAGTCCCTTAACTTATACACCTCCTTCATGTAATTGGTTCATTAATCATTCAGAAAACAATCTTCAGCTTGTAAAATGAGTGACTTATATGACGTCACTGTAGCACCGTCAATAGACGTCAGCCAAGGGCAGGAAAGCTACACACTTCTTTAAAAATGTCACACTTATAAACTTGAAAGCAGGAAAGGTGCGGAGCAGAGCACGGATGCCCTGCTCGAAATAGGTTTCCAAGTGGCACTGGTTTAGTAGCCCCTGGAAGGATTAAAATGGAAACAATCTTTGCACTCTTTCTACAGATGGGGATCTGAGTTACGGCTTGCTGGCTAACCTGCCCAAGGTGGAGAGGTTCAAGGCAGTGGTTCTCTTCCTGTCCACTGGTGACAAGAAACGTAAGTCAGGCAAGCGTTTCTTCAAACCTTGTCCTCATCCAAATGTTAACCAAGTTCAATGGGATGAGATCATATACAGACTCGAGAATAGGGGTATCTTGACCGTGTCATAGCATTTGCACACTTTCATTATCTCTCTAGATTTGGGAGAGATGTTTAAAGTTACAGTCAGTAATTTGCAGTTTACCCAAAATGGAAGTGATAAAATTAGTGTTGAAAAGCACACTTAGATTAAGGATTGTTACGTGAGTAAAGTACCTGTGAAATTCTTTCTGATAAGTTGTCGTGTTGAAGAAAAAAGCTCATTTCAAACCAAAAGTCTAAAGACACATTTTTGGAAACGTGCCAATAAAAGCATGTGCAAGTATTGACATGACCTAGGTGAGTGTGGTATAATTTGTTGGTTCCGTGTGTGATGTGTCCCACTGCGTCCCAAACACTGGATTCAGGTGCAATCCAAAACATAACTCAGCAACTTTTGATATGAAATCGAAGTCCTAGAATATATTGTTTATAACGAATGTACAGTATTCAGTGAGCTAAAACTTCATCAGGTTTGTCTAAGGCACCCTTGATCAGATTTTGAGTCATTTTGTTGCCTCAAAGGAACATGATGCACAGATGACAAATGACGGACTTTACCTTTAAAGAGCAATCTACTGCTTGAGGTGACACAAACTGAAGCAGATGACATGAGACTTTTGTCCCTCCTTCTGTCTATTTCTAGGCTTACGGAGCACGTTGAAGAAGCTCGGTTCCAGGAAGACTGAGGCTTACAAAGAGATGGACCTCCAAAACTTGAAACAACTCTACTCCCTGTAAAGGCGGCATGCGTGCAGTAAATAATCAGGATATGACATCATCTATAGCAGTCCAAAATACAAAGCTAACGCTTTCTAAAATGTCTATCCCCTCTGTCGCTTTGAGTCTTGTTCGTTCTTCTTGAAAACCAACAAAACTAAACCGTGACCAATTGTGCTTCACCTTTACCCCTAGGTTGGTTGTATGAAAAACTATTTTAAAGTTGGAGAATTGGGGACTGTGAAGAATATACGTGACTGCGTCTTCGCGAGTAGTGGTGTGCGTTTGTGAGTAGCACAAGAACTAGTGAAACAAATATTGGTACCCAGGTACCCAACGCCTGAAGAAAAAAAAAGAAAGAGAAAAGGAAATATGAAAATTCATTCAAATTGCCAATTCTGTCTTAGCCAATATGCTCTTCAATACCCTCCTCATGTTAACCTCAAGTAAGTTTTGCTTTCCACGTAGCCTGATTTCTAGTTGAAAATGTTTGCACATAAACCGTCCTTTTTCCTTTGAAAAGTTACTAAGTAATTTAAATGGGTGGTCAGGGGTATCAGGTTCCGTATTTTGGAACTAGTTCCCAACATCAGTAGGGTATTTGGGTCCTATTGACAGCCCTGTTAGGGAGATGGGATAACTTTCTCGGGTTCTCTGTTTTGTGTGTCTAAGGTCATACTCTTGTATTCAACATGATGCTTATGCACAAATGCGTTAATTGAAAAGAAGAAATTCTTGTGAAACACAGGAATGCTGAAATATTTAACCATTCATGGCCCACAGAAATAATTTGTTAACCAAGTCATCGAAATCTGCCTGAATCAAATTTTGTTTGTTTGATTTTTGTTGAAAAAGGACTGGAATATAAATCCAATGTTATTGGTTTTACTTCAGAGAAGTGTCACTGTGGACGCAGTGAATGTGTAGAATTATGCCCACACATGGGCGTCAAAGTAACTTGAAAAATGTGTGGTTTTTGAAAGTGATTTTTATTCAGAAAAAGGGCCACTTTTTGTTTGGGCTTTGTTACTCCTTAAAGTGATGTAACCTCTCATATTCCTTGAATGAGATTGGAATCAATTAAAGAATGTGAAATCAATAAAATGCCAAGATGGCAAGATATGTTCTCAATTAACTTCCGTTGTATGAAGCTGTTACATCTCAACAGTGTACGTAATCTGAAAGTACATGTACATGTACCCCTGTATATTGTTTTTAATTAGAAATGCAGCAATTTTACACAAAAGTACCTACATTCATGAATAAAGTCTGGAAGAGTCATTCCTACTTTTCTTGCATGCACCTTTACACAGACACTCCAACATTTATGGCACCTTTCCATATGGATGTTTTTTGGGTGCTTTGCATACATGATGTGTTCTCATGTTCTACTTTCACGGATACAAAAACCGACTCCATTAACACAACACGTTTGTGTTGCGTTCAGCCATCAAAATCACCGTGGAGCAATTTTGACGGATATGTAACGCTTGGTGCATGTGTTGATGCGCATATGGAAAGCACCTGGCTCCCATGCTGACAACATTTCACCACACCGGTCAGGTAACTTGTGTCTCTTTGTGATAGATTTCCAAATATATGTGAGGCAAAGATAAATGACCAACATTCTTGCAAGTTCATAAATCTATGTCCTTTTCTTTAATTTCAAATGTCAATGATGTTACATGGTCAATCAATCATGATTATATATCATTTACCCCATGGAACCGTTAAGACCTGCTTATAATTACATAAGGTCACCATCTACAAGATCAACATGTATGCACTATTAACATTTTGCTCTTGGGCTGTGCTTGAGAAGATGTGGAAAGATAAGGGGCTTGGACCACTTTCATGGAAATCTGCTAATAGGTGCATCAAACAGTTGCCAAGCAAACTTGGGTCACCAGGCAAAATGCCTTGTGGTATTAAATGCTTGTGCTGGTTCCCTTCACATTTCTGCTAAGCATATAATACAATTTGCTAAGCACTGTTTCCACTGAGAAACTGCACCGAGTTGGGCCAAGGCTGGGATCACTGTTACACTTTATACTCGTCAGTGCATACTTGGGGCATGTGCAACAGAAACTGAGTTTGAAACCACATCCATGGTGAGCTGTATCAAAAACAGCAATGTGTCCCGCAGGTGATAACAGAACATCCAAATATAAGAACAAAAAGAGTAAAACACAAACCAAAAGAAAAAAAGATGGCTCTAACTTCTAAAGAAGAAAGATTCAGACGTGCCATGACATGCATTCATTTAATTTACAATTGAAATGTTGGGTCAGAGGTTATGGTACTACCTCGTCTGGATGGTTACAGGTTCTAAGCACAACTTGATCAAAATAATCCAATTTTGAGGTATATCTTCAAAAAACAGTGATTTGACTGGCACACAACCTCACAACTTTGCATGGTCATTTATGTGTTAAGCTCTGTATACTGTACATCCTCCAAAACCAAAATTTACGTGCATTACTATACAGCTCATCAAAGAGATAGCGCAATGGATATTCCTTAGCAGTGCTGTAGTTGAATCCATGTAAGTCCTTTCACAAGACCAGTCATAGCCGATGGTGTTGCTGATGGGGGCAGTTCCTCCCCCCTACCTGGCTAAGCCACTGGTCACAACTAACAGGGTGAACAATGACAAAGAATGCTTTTGTCACAGTTCACTTGAAGAATTTGTGACTAGGCATAGAGACTTGAAGGAGTCATGATGGGCTTGCAGGAATTCTGTATTGGACTTCCCGTATCCTTCAGACAATCATTCAGCCTGACAAGTTATCAGAACCCATCGTTTTCTGCATCTGTTATAAACGTGATAAACTTGCTACCGATAGTTTTCCTCTCGGAATACAGTGAAATAAAGCATATATGAACAAAAAATAAATACAATGCATACTCTGAAAACATGAAACACAAAAGCTTAATCATGCACTCTGCTTAGCTGACTCTTTGTAATTATTGGTTTATAAATCCAAATTTAAAATATATACAGTATCACAAATGGCACTGGAGGCTTTCACTTTTTGTAGTATCCATGGAAACAGTTGTATTTAAAGCTAGTTTCTTGTGACACTTAATACATTAGATTTGCAGTTAACAAATGAAGATCAGTTTAAGAAGTTTCAAGAAAATTGGAAGATAAAATAGGAAAGTTTCCGGAAAATTGGAAATTCCAAACTTTTGAATAAGAAACCGTAAGGCGTCAACATTTAACCTGCATGTAAACATCTGTGTTTGTCGAATGACAGCCTTACGTGTCTTGTGTGTCAATGGTTGAAATACGTGCATCACAACAGGCCTGGAATTTCACAGAGTGCACGGCCTAAAGTTTTTAAAAGACTTGCTGGCCTGAAGTATACACGCAAGAGATGCAAGAGATTTCGTATTGGACAGTAACAATGGAAGAAATTGGGCTCCATGGCCCATCCTCACACCTTGGCTTTGTGTTTGGGTTCGGATCCACATTTAGCTTGGTTTATGAACTTTGAACCATTTGAAGGCTTTATCATGTTCAGACCAAATGGAAAGAGTCAGGGACCTGATCTGGGTTCTGCAGTCGAAGATGGAGATGAAACCACGATTTCTAAAATGGGCTGAGTATGAAAGCACATTCAGGCTTTATGCCAAGTAATGTTGAAACTGTATTACAAGTCATAGGAGAATCCATTTTTATACAAAGGGGGTGTCATGCCCCATTGTGACGGAGGGATTATCAGATGCCAGCACTCCAGTGTTACAAAATGATATTTAGAAGACCTGTAAAGGAAAAAAGGGGAAAAAAAGTAAATCATGTTTTGTTTAAGTAGAAAATGCTTAATCAGATCAGTTATAAAGAGGCTTTTTGAGGATGTCAAGTTCTGTTTTTGAATGAGTAAAATCATAAGAAGCAACTCCTTTCAACTTTTACAATCTTTTACTGCCAACAATAACAGGTTGTAAGGCATCCATCCGTCTAGATGTACAGTTAGAAATTATGGAATTTAACCAATAGAGGGTAGTTGTGCATGAGCACCCATACTGCTAACAGTGTGTTTTGGGAAGTTCAGTGCCCCGTGTACGTGCACGGGCCGCCTCAAATACTGTAGGCTCACCGTTGTTGCTTTGCCCGTTATTCAAAGGAAGAAGTTGTCATCATGCACTGACAGTTTGGAGTTCGGCTGGGAGGGGGCTTTTCGGGTGTTTACTCTCAAAGTGTTGCTTGTATGTCTTGGGATCTGGCATTTGGGTCTGTGGCAAATATTGAGAAGGGATTTTGTGATAAATGAAAAACATGACAGAAATGCTGGATAGTGGAACAGATGGCTGCGATGAGATAAAGAGTGTGCAGGTGCACAGGGGTGGATCTGAAGGGGGGACAGACACACACACCCTTTTTTCATCAAATAATAAATAAAAAAGAACAGAGAGAGGAAGGGAGAAGGGGGAAGGATTGGTCATACTGCCTGAAATGGCACCACAGAGTGCCTAGAATCCAATAATGCCCTGGAATTCCACTGTGAGGGCTTTGCACTATGCGTTCTTGGGCATTTTACCATTGCTATTTTAGTTCACACCCCCTTCTGGAAAATCCGGGATCACGTCTCCCCTTTGGGAAAATCCTGGATCTGCCCCTGGTGCGTGTAGCTGTCTTGGCAGTTATTGTAATGATCATAAAGAAGCTACATTGATCATGACAACAGTAAACAGTGATTTTACTGAGGACACTGGTAGTTGTGATGGTGACAAGACAATGGTGACACATGGTGAGGACAGTGCTGATGATTGATAATGCAGCAGGCTTTGGAGGGTGAACTTTTAATCTCTCCACTTTTCACTGTTTTAAACTGAAGTGAAGATTGACCAAAACAATATACATCCCTGTTACCATTTATGCCTTGAGCACTGCCTCACATGTGAGTAAATGGCAAGTATTTATACGGACATCAAGGATATAATGGACATGAAGGAAACACTCCTTATGGGCCTTTCTTCGATATTCACATTGTGTCTGAACCAAATCAAGCAGTTTGAACCAAAAATTATGAGGATGGCATCAAGAAGGAATTATGCCCAAACTCTAGCAGGCCCAACTGTAATTGGGACAGGCCAAACTACATGTATAATGAGGGTAGGCCGAACTTTAGTTGGTTCTGATGCTGTCCTGGGATGTAACAGAATTGCTAACTTTCATCAGAATGTGCACAACATGTGCGGTGCCTTAATTATGATAGACCCCAGATGTGTCCTTGGAATGAGGGGGCTTTACAAACAGAGTCTCACAAGTGTAATGGCAATGGCGTCTTAGCTGGTGCCCTTACTTTGCAAATGGTGCATGTATAGGTGAGTGCTTTGGCGGCCGAGCCTTTTTGGCTGGTAGCCTTCTTCATTTTGGCCATCTTCTCTGCATTCTTTTGTTGGGACTGGATCTTCTGCTGGCCACGTGCCATGGTGATTGCCGGTAATCTCTACACCAGATGTTAGAAGGACTTGATCAGCTTATGCTGTAAATGATGACATATTAACTCTTCAAAGGAATCGGCCGAGAACAGGAAAACATCTGAAGTCATAATGTCTCCAAAATTGTCAATGAACGCTCCCCCAATATTTGCTTGATGGCATCTTTTCCGTCCCTACTTTAACAATGTTCTTGTGTTAAATTGAATAATAATCCTGGACGGTTTGTACACAGCAGGTGCACAAAATAAAGTTGAAATTCAGGGTCAATATCTAAACCAAAAAAAGCTGAAATCAGCTTAAAAAGCTGCATTTTCACACTTCTGAAATACAACGCACAATCAGCCAAAGCCCAATTACCAGACATTATGTTGTTGACTTTCGGACTGAATGTTATCAGAGCCAAAGCCATTTAAATTGTGTACATACATGTTGTAGCATTCTACTGTATCATACATAATGTTACCGTCACTGACAAGGTTTTTACATCTAGGTATAGAGCTAATGTTTAAACACAAGAATAATTTTGCAGTTTGATATACATGTATTTAGACGTTTAGCTGCAAATCCTGAAAATGGAAAGAGTTCCGTATGGCGATGCCACTTGACACGTGATGGTCTGAAAAAGTCTCAATATTTTCTAAGTAAACCGAAAATGACTTGGTACAGTATTTTCCCTGTCCTTATCTGAACTTTTCTGGACACATTTTTCTGATGGCTAAAAAACAATCAACGTAGGCATGGTAGGAAATAATTACTGGCATCCACAGTGTAACGGGTCGGTTTGCCAGTGTTGTTGTCATATGCGTGATGGGTAATGCCATGCAAGGGGGGGGTGGCAAGATGGCGTCCAAGGGTTGATCATTTGTGTAAATACACGCACAGGCCGTACTTGTCTGTAGGGTATTTCTGTTATGTTGTCAATTCACAATTTCTTTTATCTTGTACTCCAGTCTACATGTACATCATGGAGGAATTACTCCATGTGTCTACACAACCTGAACAAATATATGACGGAGAAACCGTTTTAATATATATGAAACTCTCTCCCCAGAAAAAAGTTGACAAGTGCTAAATTGTACAAAGTTATACCATGGAGGTAGGAAACCTCCATGGTTTTACCAACGTTAAATGATTTGATTGCACAATCACTTGTAATTCATCATTGACACACTCAATCACTATCGAGTCGAAGGTTGTTAAGAAACTTTCACAGATTAACAGAAATAACGAAATGTTGTAAATAAATTAAGGTTATGATAAAAAGATATCCAAAGTAACATATAAAGCATTCCTCAGTGAAAATGACTGTTCATTTCAACTTACCAAACGAAAAACCTGAGCAATATTCAATCAACCACCGCGTCTGAATTGTCTGCGAAGAAGTACGGACGCTCATGCTAGCTACACTTGACGAACAAAACAATGCGAAATAAAATATGCTCCATTAAAAATGTTGAAGCGTGGATAGTTTAAAATCAGTTTCCTTTTTCATGTTGGTGTATGTACACCTTTTAGATGATACTAATGGCAAAAAGTTTCTAAGATGTATGCAATTTACTCAATTTCACTGTGTATTAAAAATTCTAATTGTGTCCGATTTGCGCATTCGTAAAATAATATGAAGCGCGCCACCACGAGACAACGTAGAATCAGCACGTGTCTGACGATTGTTGTGGATGCTTGCGCTTGAAATCAAAGTGGTAGGCCTACATGTACATATTTGGCCAAAATACTCACCTTGGACGATGAAAGATGTACTCGGGGGTATCATCACATATCTCAAGAAAGTATAGGTAGATTTGGCTTGCTGTCGGAGTTAAATGTGCTCTAACTTGCGTATGCTCTTCACTTGAAACCTGCAGACTTTAGACAAATTTCCATCATGCATCATGTCTGAAGTGATTTTTGCCATTTAAAACTTCCCAGTTTGGTTTGGCTTGGTTGAAATTTGGTCGGCTAGTGGTAGTGCGAATCACATAAGCGAAAAGAAATTTCAACGGCCTTTTTGTCATTTAGAAACTGTACAGAGACCAAAGCAACATGAAGTCTCTTCATCTTGCCAAATTTTGGCAAGTTGCCTCAGAATTCTCGGGGAAGAACATTGTGCAGAGGCAGATTCCACTTCAAAATCGACTTGGTGCAACGGTTGGCAAGTATAACCTCTATACGAGGGAGATTCACTTCGGAAGGGTGACCACCTGTTCAAGACTGACTGTTGCCATGCCAACAAGAACAATACCGAGATGTCCTTTCTCAACTTCATCAATAGCATCATCAGATATTTCGACTCCATCCTCACTACCACCTCTCTCAGAAGCTCAGCGGAGGCAAGAAGAGGCGAGTGACATGGCCACTACACGGCTCATCAGCAAACACAGGAAACGTCAGGATCGGGTGTACGTCTGGGGGCTTTCCTATACTGGCGCACTGGGTGTCCCAACATTTGTCAAACCTAAACTAAGAGGTAGCAGTCCCAGGACGAGAAGAAAGTATCAGTCTGCACCTTACTTGTTACAGCAAAATCAAAAGGTGAAAGAACCTGAGTTATTCTCACCTGGTAGGGCTCAATTCATTCAAGATCCTATAAAAATCCTATAGTTTCTAAATGCAAAGAGAAACATGGACATTCCAAAGATATACATCATACTCTTTGCACTTGGAAGTTTAGACATGGTTCTGTACTTGCAGTGGCTGTAACATGAACGCCTGAATTCCTCAGAATGCTGAAAAAAAAAGAAAGATTCTACTTGTAGTAGACTGACCAGCCCCCCTTCCCTGATCCTTTAGAATCCATCCAAGAAGTTAACTGCAAGACCCATGCACTGTTACTGTACAGGAATGTATTTAGGCATTTGATGGCCAATGAAAGTCAAGACTACAATGGAAATAAGTTTAACTCTCTTTACATTATCCCTACTACATGTGTTTCCACTTTTGGGAATCTTTAAGTTTGCTTTTCTTCCATTTATTTTTTGTAATAATAATTTGTAGAAATATTGAATAAATCAAATTAAGAGTATAAAAGAGTCTTTGGAAGATTCCTGTCCGGAGAAGGAATTGGGAGGACACATTAGGGTTCCAGGCAAGAATACCTATCAGAGTCCAAAAATAGGTTGAGCAATTTTTAAAAGGATTCAAGACAGACCCTGCTCTGAGGCTTGAATTCCCCATTAATGAACATGCTGCACTGCATTCTGAACATCCTAACTCATTGTTGAACTTTAGAAGATTTAGGCTACTACGGAAACGAAAACAGGAATTCCAACTGGGTTAAGCAACCTGACAGGGTTTTATTGGGGAGTCTTCTGAAACCCAACAGAATCCATCAATTCAACATAAAACCATCATGTACATGTGATTTGTACAAGACTCCTCAGTACTAATTTATTGAAACCCTTGACTGTGTTTGGTTTATTATTCCACGTGTACGTGTACATTAGCCAGTTAACGCTATTGCTATTTTTACAGATTACCTCTGTTGCTTGTGGTTACGGTTTCACCTTACTAGCCAGCAACACATTAGAAATAACCAAAGTCTGGGGAACTGGTGTCAACACGGACTCCCAGCTGGGCTTTCAGCCTAAAAGTGTCGAGAAAGGTACGGATGGTAGGCGAAGCAAAAGTAGAGTTATATGAACATGAGATGAAGGTCTTTCGTTCGCATCATCAGGGTTTGCCTAAAAACAAGTCAACCGTTACCTCGATTTGAACATTTTAATGGATGGAATCAACTTTGAATGGTAATGTGTTGGTTTTTTTCCAAGTCTGAATTTTTTACCCAATCCTCTTCCCACAACCTTTACTTTGAAAGGTCCTTGTCCTACTGAGTGGAGTGCCGGGTCTATGAGAAGATTTCACGTTTTAATTCTTCGTTGTACCTGTATGTTGGCGTTGTGTTTGGTTGTCTCCATTCAAGTCACTTTGTTTAATTGCACTCCTTTTTGTTCCTGTTTCATCCAATAATCCTATCTTGAATCAAAGGAATTGGAAATTGTTAGCCCAGTGCTGAGTGTAAATGTAACAGAAAAAATGGCACGCTAAGGCTTACTAAGGGGGAACTCGCAATACTATAAAAAACCAGTTAACTACTCAGGGATCTTTAAAGGAATTAAAGGTCACAGGAAACGGAATTAACCACATGCCGCCGGGTATTCCAGTTTCGGACACGTATTCTTTATATGCGTGGCCAGGGTCTCCGAAATCGGACAAAGGGAACTGGGTCTTGTAACAAAAGACCGTACTCGGAACAAAAGACCAGGCTGCTGGGCATTACTGACATTTTTCACTCTCAATAGTGGAGATAGTCCAGCCTTGTTTTGAAACAGTATACCATGGTTTGGGGCATAATTGAGAGCGCAGTGATGAGCCACACAGCACTGCCACATGCTAATCTGGCCACAATTGAATAGAGGTCAGCAATGCACTGTGTCAGTTTCGTGAACAAAAGGAAATTATGTAACACCGCAAAATCTGGGCTCTTTTTACCATGTTTACAAGGCGACAGGCCTGGCTGAAATACTCCAGCATCAATAGATGTTGTCTGTCAGATCAGAGTAGAAACCAGACAGTCCTTCGTGTGGGTGTAAGTGTTCAGTAAATGAAGATATGAATTTTTAAAGAATTTTGAAAACAGAAAACAATGATACTTATCCCGCCCCAGCGTCATCAACATTAAGTGGTTAATAGGGACTCAGACACCAAAATTTGACATCAAAAAAAGGACAAAAAGAATTGAAAATTGAAAAGTATTGAAAGAAAAAAGACTAAAAGACTTTTTGAAAAGACTTGACACCTAAAGACTGAACCTTTAAAAGGCCTAAAAACCAACACATGTCAATATACACTGGACAGCAAGAGAAACCACTTCTGTCAAAGGCCACACGTAAAAATTCTTTCCATAGAAATAAACAATTTTTGTACACAGGTATGCTACTCCTGTAGAAAAGCACAGGAGTGTGTTTTCTACTCAAGCAGAAAATCACACTCCAGTGAAGGGTACATGAACAGCGATAGTGTCTCTGTTGGTCTGCTGTCTTCAAACTGAGTGTGGTCAGAGCATGGGGGGGGGGTCGAAGGTATATGGGTAGAAGCAAGGGCCAAAGTAAATAAACAGGGGGATACACTAACAGAAAAATACAGGGGAACTCGAAACCAAAACTATATATTTTTACAGGGGGAGTACTCCTATGAAAAGACGCTTACAAAAAGTCTTACAAATTTGTAGCTCTGCAACATAAGGAATCTTGGAATGGTTTTTGGAACTTCTTCATTTTAATGAAATGTTAACAGAGGAAAATGTTTTTGTCATTTTTTATTACCGATTCTAGAGGAAGGAATGGATTATATCCTGTACCCCGTGCCCATCGACCTACCACTGACCAGACCACGGGCAACCAGAGTCACCCAGGTGTCATGTGGGAGGGCGCACTCCCTGATACTCACCGACAACGAAGGAGGTAATAAGCATGAAGGGCCAGATGTTGCAGTTTTGAGAGAAAGTTGTTTTTGTGTAGTTTTAGTGGAGAGCCTAAAGAAAAGTTACACTTGGACATGCAGTCCTGGTCAAATCTTGTAGGGCATCCACCCCCTAGGCCCTCTCTCAATGTTGGGTCTCACTGCACGGTCTGTGCTCCTGCTCGAGATGACAACATTGACCCGAGGAGTGGAGGATCTGGAAAGGTAATGGCTATTGACACGTGTCCCAACAATTTTGTCCATGATTGCAGGCCAGTCAGGCCAAAAACGTCTCCCTCTTCCCCATGTAACATCACATTTTCCTTAATTATGCATCATCTGGAAAACTAGTGATATAATATATCAATTCTTGAGGTTACTCGCCTCCCAGATGCCCAACAGTAGAAATGAAAAACATTGAAATCTATAAATGTCTTCAAGATTAAATGTTTAATTATGTGTGGGACATTGCATGTTCGAATTCCTGGACTTGGCTATCTCTTTAATAAGATTTACTTGAACGTCAAAGTGGCTGTTGAGTGTTTAGATACTCAGAAATAAGCACTGTTTGCCCAGCTCTCTTGTTTCCCTGACGGGTGTGGTTACAATATGTTCCTTCATTGGCTTTGTGCATTTATTAAAAGGAACATTATTTGTGTTTGTCTTTGCTCAATTTGAAATACGTAGGACGCACTGACAATGGACATAACCATAGCTGTAGAAACCCATTTCAGACAGGGCCTGAGCAAACTTCTGTGCTTTACAGCTTGGTGACATGATGCATTGTATGTGGGTAATGTCAGAGGTCACGATAGATAAACAGCATGAGTTATCACAATTATGTGTTTTTCTGTCTCCCAACACAATGGAAAATTGTTTCTTATCTTTCCTTCAGTGCACAAATTATTATGCAAACAGCTTGACACGATGTTCATAGATGTACAGGTAGTGTACCACAGGGCGATGGCTTTGCCCATCTGCAAAAATCTGTCGTCAAGCAAAACGGAGCATGTGGGGTCAGAATTGCCAAAAGGCTTCTTGGCAGCAGCCGCAACCCATGATTTTGCTCTTTGCTTAAAAAACAATTTTTTTTTTTTACTTTAGTTTTTAGTTTAGGTAACAATGCCCATGGACAGTGCGGAAGAGCCATTGTCGAGAAAGAGACTTACAGGTCCAACCCAGTCATTCATAACATCAAGGGGATCGAAGGAACGGTGAAACAGGTAATGAGGTTGAGAGGGCTTGTGTATTGAGATTTTTAACCCAGCTTCTGTGAGAGGGCATGGGAAATCTGTAAAGTTTGTCAGTTTGCATCGGCCTAGTAGCACCGAATTATTCAGTTGGGCATGTAACTATTGTTGTTATTTTGGTTGCTTACTAACACGTTGACTGTTGCGCATACTTTCACAGGGCATTCGCTCTTGCCAAGTGTCGTATTTTCCAGGTGTCTGTTTGAACATGAGCATTTTATAGATATACACCCCCCACACTGCCAGCAGCGCATTCGTTGTGTTCTCCAATGATGCTAGTGTATTCAGTTTACATTACGACAGCCTTTCATTTCCTACAAGCAAACTCATAGTGGCTGAACCTGATACACCTGTGACTACCCGTATAGAGGGATCCCAATACGACGCTTTTAGTGTCGATCTGTGCTTTTCTGCATTTGAAAACGAGGCTGTATGTGTCAGCTTCAATTCTAAATACGATAAGACGATTGACAGTAAGGAGTCAAGACACAAAATGCATAAAAGTATGTTAAATTCAGACTTTTCAGGTCGAAAATTTTGGTGAAAGAGTCTTTCAGGATGAATCAACACGTAAAATTAAAAGAAAAAATAATGACAATTGACCACGAGCTAATGTACCTGCGATGGTCGTGTATCTTGTGCAGTGGGCGTGGTTTAAACTTAAGTGGCGTCACATTTACGAACCGGATACTCCATGTACTGTGTCGCCTATGCGGGCGCCCGCGACGAAGTTCAGCACAGAGAGCCTCGGTTTCGATGCAGATATGCACAGACGGTGCTAATGTGAAATCCCTCTATACATGTACTCATATTCGACAGTCAACATGCAAAACAGGTTATTAGTAGTTACTAGTGTGGATTTCATGTACAGTCAAAATAAACCAGAAATATACAGCACAAATGGAAATACTTAAAAAAAAAATTAAAGTAAGGAACTAATTTATAAATACAGTAAACTAAATTAACCCCCCCTAAAATGCTACAGATTTTAGCACTTAGAACAGTGGAGAGTTGGGGTTTACAGTCATAAATCAAGCCTTTTGAGCCGGAAGTTTTACAACTCTCACATTTGATGTGAGATTCTAAAACAAATCTGAAAGTCCAATCCACGTTCACTCTGATTGGTTTGAAAAGTTATAAAGATATGTTTTGGTACCGATTCCTTCCTTGGTAGGTTCAGTGCGGTCACGACCATAGCCTTTTCTTGACAGAAGAGGGTGCTGTTTACAGCTGCGGATGGGGAGCAGATGGCCAGACTGGTAAGAATGCGACTCTGCGTCCATAACTTTGGGCTGTGGCTAGCAATGACACAGAAGCTTGTGGAAGCGACTGGCTAACCACTGTAACCATTGTGCCATAGACATGCATGCTACTGTTAGCCATAGCCAAGATTTTAGGTACCATTTACATGCATTTTGAGCTGTTATTCAACCCTTAAACCACAGAAATTTTGTTAGAACTCATCCTGAATCTATACTCGAACCCACGACCTCCTGCTTACCAGTGCAGGAGGTCGTGGGTTCGAGTCCCACCCGAGTAAGCTCGTGACTTTTTTCGCAAGCTTTCGGACTAGCACTGAGCATACAGTGTTTATTAATATAAACGTTGGGTAAGGGCAAAAACCTGTTATATAGATTAACATCTCCCCAACGCAAAAATACATCTTGAAAATCATCCTGAATCGTTCAAAATAAAAAATTCTGCTCTGTACAGGAATCCGAAGCCACACAGTTTGATATGTCATGAGATATTGATTGGCATTCGTATGGCCCTAATGGCATTTCCTCTTCCTACGTGGCTGGTCTTTTTTAAGGATTGATGGCCGTGCGACACCTCACACAGTACACGCCACACGTGCGCCAATTTCCATATAAGGAGATTGTTTATGACTGCTTGCAAGTGGAACATTCCATAACATGACCAGATGTGTATTTCAAAAATGAAGTAGAGGTATTGAGCAAAATCATCAAAATTTGAAATTCTTAAACTTGTTTTGACTTCTGACTCGAAAGGTATTTATGAATGGGAATAAACATGTACTTGGCTGGTCTCAAACCAAACCGTCAAGTGCATATTTACTTGTATTCCCTTGCCCTCTGAAGAATAACAGTGGCTGGGCTTTACCTTCCTTGATCCCACAAAATCTTAAGACCCGGGGGAGTTTTGAAGGGTGAAGGCTAAGTGACCAATGGTTTGCACGGTTGATTTTATTCCCTTCTGCCAGGACTTGGTCACTACGAAAGTGTGGACCATCCCGTTCAACTTGAGGGCGACCTGAAGGGGCAGAAGATCCTCCAGGTTGCGACGTTTGCTGATTGTTGTCTCGCAGTGTCTGGTGAGAATTTAAAAGTTATTGGAACCCAGCGGCAACATAGCTGAGAGTCGCTTTGTTCAGTATCATGTTGGTCAAAATTTCTGAAGGAAGTCATGTGGGAATGGCCCATGAGCTGTTGGAAAGTACGCGCAAAATATCTGCCATCAAGTTGAAAAGTGACCTCTTTGAAAACACTTTGTACAGCACTCCAAGGCCCCGTTCTTTTCAAATTAAACTTTTGATTTTAAGTTTTAAGCAGAAATATTACATTTTCTGCATGGTTTTGGCTCTTGTTTGACTTGAGATCATGGACACTTTGTGTTTTGGTAGATAAAGGAGACATTTTTGGCTGGGGCAATTCCGAATACCGCCAGCTTAACAGCGTCACAGAGGAAATGCAGGTAATCTGGTCATTTTTGTTTATTTAATTTAAATAGTTTGTTCAATTTGCTTCATTTCATGCATTCTTTATCTCCTTTTCCAACCTTTTAAAATGGATGGTATGGTCTTCTCTGTGCACAGGTGTATGAACCTCAGCACCTTCCATTCCGTGGCGTAGGGAAGGTTATGGGTGCAGCAGCTGGAGGGACCATTTGTCAGCTTGTGAATGGTAAGAAGACCCTAAAATGTACATGAATGCAGTAACTTCAAAGTAAATACAAAAACGAAATTCTATTTGAGCTGAAATCCTTATCTTGGGGTCTAATACTCAGCTGTCTGCTAGATATTCCAAGTGTGTCCTTATTTCTTCTCAAAATTTTAACTATTTTTGTGACGTCAGTCAATTATTGAAACTGTAGATTATTATTTATTAATGTACACTTTTCTGTAGATTATATTACGAATGTACGCTCTTCTGTAGATTGCTTTCTAGTTTTTACAAAACTATACAAAAAATACAATTATACCTCTTCTGATCCAGGAAGCGTTTTGCAAGAAGTTTCAGCTTTGTAAATGCCAATTTGTTCTTCAAACTAATTTTAATTAAGAAAACATTCAATTGCAATTATAAATTTCAGCGATTAAATGGACCTTTTTTACATTTACAAAACTGAAAATTACAAAATGTCACATTACACTTCCAGATTATCGACATTATCCCCCAAAAGTGTCTGCAAGGTAATATTTCTATTTAAGATTGCTCGACGTCTTTGAAACTTTGAAAAAAACTGTACAAATGGATTGTATTTAGACACATGTATTCTACTGCCATCTGCATGGTTGGTCACGGGTCTCTTAAAGCCAATGCAACCTGATGCATTAGCAAAAACGTTGGTGTCTTTAGTAGAACTCTCTGTGAGACGCTTCTTGGAGACCAGAGCATTGCTGATGGCTTCATGGTGCTCATCCGTGGTTCGTTCGTAAGACTGTATGACAGAGGAGTGGTACCAGTTGTCTCACAGATTAGCTGCGCATTGAAATTCTGAAAGCACAAACGCGAAGCAGCCGCAGCACGAAGAGAGTAAATAGAAAAATAACCAACCAATCCTGTTTGCTCACATAGGCGTCGCAGTTAGGGTAAGTTGGTGAATTCCATGTGGCTGACAGCTATACCATATGTCACGGTTTGGCTTTGCAAGAGGACGAAGATAAAAAGCCGAACTGCACTTCCCTGATGTTGGTCTGTGACTTTTGTGCTTCTCGTAGAGACGTAATATACATCTGTCCGAATTCAAGGGGTTATGTCGTACAAGTCCACTGTCCTGGGAATGATGTTCCGATGTTTCAGTCCACCTTGGTAGCTCTCACACACATCTTCAGTGTATCTGAGAAACCACTTCCCATGGGTTGTTGTCTTGAGGGTAATCTGTGAGTTTGTGTAGCACAGGTTTCAATGTTCGTCACCAGCCCTCAAAGCAAAGTGGATTCCAAATTGGTACAAAATGGTACCAACTAGTCGTTATCACTCCCAAGAATCTACTTCTCCTACGTGACATTCTCATTTTCCCTGCTGATTATTTATTCATTCCCAGCGTTTCACTCTGTGTCCTGCAGGAGAGACTTCCTTCATCTTGTTGTCAAGCATATTTCCCAAAGAAGAAAATTCCTCATCTCGAATAAGCTGATATTCCTTGCCATACATTGCCATATAAGCTGGATACATGTACATATCACCATCTTGTAGAGCGTTTCACTTGATGTTCCTTACCGTTGACCTTACACACTTCAGGATGAAACGGGTGAGAGAGTGACTTAGTTAATCGGTTGTCATTTCAAGGAGTTCACGTCGTATGGCACTCAAGTTCAAGTCAGGATTCAGTATTGTGCGTTCATTTCTCTGAATTTTCCACTCGAATGTCCAAACTGTCCTGGTACATTTCTTCTTGTTGCTTTGGAATACCTTCAATATAAATAAAACAATGAAAATATTCTTTTAATGCAAATCATCCAGACCAGTGACTTGACATTTTAATTGAAATGGAACTCGGTTCGGGGAATTAACGTACACGCAGTTTCTTCATGAATTTTAGGTAATTTGACATACCTCTAAAACAATTTTTTTTATATTTTTCAAGACCTGTAAAGGAATACGTGAATACAAGAAAAGAATTACATTATACAACCTACCTTTTTGAGGATTTCCAGACAACATCAACGTCATCTTTGGGAGGTTTGAATCTACTGCATTCACCCTTCAGGTTTTTTTTGGCTTGGACATCTTCGTCCATACGATACATCAAAGAAATAAATCGATTTATCATAGGCACACTCTTTTTGGTGAACCACTTGGACGTCATTTTCTAGCATCAACAGGAATTTGGCTGCAGCGGCGGCAGCACTGTCAGAATCACTGGATGAGCCAGCCGGTCTGAAACTCGTCTGAGTATTAAGAGGGATACAGATTGAGCTATCACTGTCAGATATTGTGAATGATCTCACCAGGCAAATGAGGTAGAATGCGGCAGTGCGAAAGCTTTTGCTTTTTTTTTTATCCGCCAATCAACACTTATATTGACCAGTTGTGTACTGATGTACCAAGCCAGGCTTAGGCCTGAAAATGCGATCATATAATCCTTGTATCAGTTACAAATCGACACTCATTCAAACACCTCTTGTTAAAGGCTATGCCAGAGCTTCATTTGAATAAACCTTTGTTGTTTAAAAAAAAATAGTTTTAAGTCAGAGAATAGAGCTCAGAACTGTAGATTCGTGCGAGAATGGGCGAGGCGATCTACAGTCCTCCTTCATTCTCTATGACAGAATTTGAGGGTGCCATTTGTACACCAGAGGATAAGCTTGACATTCGTCTGAGTCAGCGTAGCATTTTTCTTGATGACAACAGTGAAATATCCGGAGGATAGTAAGCATGAACAAATGTTTCATTTGACGGAAGTTCCAAGTGATTGCGATTTTGTCTTGACAGACATAGGAGATGTCTTTGTCTGGGGCTACGGAATACTGGGGAAGGGTCCAAAGTTGAGCGAGAGCAAATATCCAGAGCACGTTCCAGCCATCCTGTTCGGACGGACGGAGCTGAAGCCAGATGTCACAGTTACCCAGGTGCATTGTGGTCTGCACCATTTTGCGGCAGTTACGAGTGAGTGAAAGAGACTAATAGATGTGGTACCAATTCAATAAAAACACAGAAATGCATTGCCAACGCAATTCTTTTGATTGCTTGAATGTATTTTTTATTTATTAGTTTGCTGGCAAGTCCCAGCACCTCGATCTTTTGTTTCCATGTTCGGACACCCTGGCCATGAATAAAGGCCCAGTTTTCCGGTCCAGTGAACCCCATTGTGGCCCATCAGTGATGAAATTACCTTCGCCGATGGCCCAAACGTTTTACTGACAGCAAGTAAACCTTTTTCTAAATACACCTAGCAACTTTTTTTTTAATAAGTTCTGATTTCAGGCACCCCGGCCTTGTGGGCCATGCACCGTGTCTCCAGTGCCAGGGCACCCCGGTGCAAATTGGTTTAAACACATTGTTTTAGAAAGCATTTTGTTTAGGTAGCAGCTTTTTATGTGAATTTATGTAATGTCATATTCAGTGTGTGTGCTTTTAGGATTGGGTCCGTGTACAACTCACCACTTTTAACTCACTGTGTTTAATATTTTCATGTATGTATTTATCATTTTAAAGAGCAGATCTAAGGAAACACATTTTCTCTGATTTTATCTGTTTAAATAAATATGGAAACATCCAAATTGAATGGCATGCATTATTTGGCATGCACAGGGTTTATCCACAACGATCACAGGGCGAGGGTTCCCCTCGTTTTCTCTGTTTTCTCAGAATGACTCAACCTACATTCAGAACTCGCATCTTAGCATGAACAGAAAAAAAGCCCTTTTAAGCTTGTTATAGTTGAGCTCTGAAGACAAATGACACTGCATTCGATTTAGATGCTTCCATATTTATTTGAACAGATAAAATCAGAGAAACCATGTTTTGCTTAGAGGTGCTCTTTGATTGTATGGAATAAGGAGCTATATAAGTGTGAATAATAGTAATTTTCAAATGGCTTTATGCCCAAGGCATAACCATCTATCATCTACAATTTATATTCAGTCTAACTTTATTCTGTCTCTTTTTCAGACAAAGGAGATTTGTACACATGGGGAATGAACGACTCGGGACATCTAGGCTTGGGAACTCGGACCAACCAGTTCTTCCCTCTCAGGGTGAGCATGGACGTAAATTGTAAAACATCAACCTTGTCTGTATGTCAAGGAGTATGCTTCCCCCCCCCCACGGTGATTGCACTCTTGGCTTGGCATAGAATCATGTTTGCATGTCTGACAGATATCATAATAAACCATGGACCAGTCTGTGGTAAGCTTAAGATAGTCCGTGGTAACAATGGAATAGTCCATGGTAACTGTAGAATAGTCCATGGTAACTGTAGAATAGTCTTAGTAGTCGAGGAATCATCTGTGGAGTAGTCCATGGTAACTGTGGAATAGTCCTGGTAATAATGGAATCGTCTGTGGAATAACTACTCCATGGTAACTGTGGAATAGTCCTGGTAATCATGGAATCGCCTGTGGAATAGCTAGTCCATGGAAACTGTGGAATAGTCTTGGTAATCGTGGAATTGTCTGTGAAATAGTTCATGGTAACTATGAAATGGTTTGTGGTAACTACATGTAACTGGCTATTTTTGTTGTGCAGTGTAGTATTATTTTCCTTGTGAGGTCTGAACAAAACCAACTTTTTCCAGCATTGTTTGGTAGTTTACATCCATCCAACTTGCATTATTGTACTTTAAAGTTGAAGATGGACAAGTGACGCTTGTGAAGAGACTTGGTTCTCTGAAAGGAGCGGCAATCTTGCAAGTTGGAATTTTTGTTATGACAATGTTGTTATGACAACAGGTGGCCATCGCTGCAGAAGTACAGACCGTGGCCTGTGGTGTGGATCATATGGCGGCCCTGTGCAAAACATTCCTGTGAAACAGGTAAAAAAAGTTTGTCTCGATGTTTGTGAATAAATTTGTCATTTTCCCCATTATCTGAGCAAACTCTCTTTCCATTCTTAGATTATGTTCCATTTTACCAGTGAATGTGACATTGTACTCGCGTGTACTCTTACTTTACACTCATTTTAAAATAGTTTACTCAGAGAGTCATTGATATCATTTTCATAATGCCATATCAGCATCAAAAGGAATTTTATTTTAAAAAATTTACCACAATTACACCCACAGCCTTAGTAACATACGTCATTCAAATTATCATGACTGAGCATTTTTATTAATAGTTTTTGAGAATTCAATAGAAGAAAATGCTCAGTTTTCAACTCTGAGTAATGACCGGACTAACCTTTTAAACTTTACAGTTTTTTATTTCAAATAATTACTTCTCTCATGCTTTTGTGCCTGTATTTACATGGAATAAACAAAAATTGGTCAATTTTAAAGCTACAAGTATCAAGTGCATCTGCCTAACCTCAATTCACTATACCAGGAAAAAAAAAAAAAACTTCAGTCTGAGTGGACTCCATTAATCCCTTTGACAAGCTTTCAGTTCCAAGATTTTAGTGGCCTATTTAAATTTGTTTACACTGCATTCTATCATCGTACAAACAGAAATGTCAAATCCAACAAGCAAGTTAAATATCATCAAACATTTGCATATTTTTAGAAAAATATATTTTGTTATCCAATAAATGTGTTGTTCTTTAAGAATTCTATGAAATTTACCAGATAAAATCTAATTTGTAGCCATGGTAACAGTTTCAGTTTAAAATAATTTTAAGGTCTCCTCACAGATTTTTTAGACTGCAGTTCAGATGCACATGCACACCATCCACATTAGATAAATTTCTTTGAGGAATAATTTTGGTTCAGATCTGGTGAGCAGAGATAAATATTACCAATTAAGAAATGTACACCTAGATTTATGGGTCTTTTACGAACATCAGAGTATCATGTATGCATGTGGCAATTACTATTGGATGATAAATTATGCAAAGGAAATTTAAATATTAAACATGCCTGAAGTTTGGAAATACATTCTTATACACCGTGTCCTGCTCAAGGACACAATATGTCATGCCATTCTGTAAATAATACTTTACATGAGAACTAAATATCAAGAAATTTGCCTTTGGAAGCCAATTTAAGATATAAGGAACAAAAGTTGAGAGTTGCATATCGCGGGCATGTAGTGATAGTCTTGAAAGAAGCCAGTGTAATTTTTTATTGGTCCATAAATTTATGCAGACGAACATGAAAGGAATCCATTACCATGGTCAGGTGTAACATGTGCCCATCTTGTACATGTTCTACATTCTTAACCTGAGACGTACACACAGTTTTGCCAGTTGTAAATACCCAATTGACCGATTGCGCCTGCCAAGTCACATGACCCACATGTATAGTGAGCATTAAATATCAACAAACATGGTGTCCACCAAAAGCACAATGTTTCATAAGAATACCAGAAATAAAGCTGATGGTAGGCACGGTACTCATGCTACTGATGCGCTGGTACTGTACCGTAACTTGTCTGTATTGTTTGTAAACAATATTCAAAACACACATTGCTATGGGGTTAATACCCACTATAGTCACATTATTTAGCGGGCACAATCAGTCTATTGGTGGAAGAGGCATTGAATGCAAACATTACCTACCACTCTCAGTTGTAGGACAAGCCATTGGGTCTTGACCATTTTCCGTTTGGAAAACAAGTGAACTGTATTTCAGAGATACGAGCTCAAAAGTCTGTAAACCCTAGCTGAAAGTTTACCTTTGGAATGTACTTGGATCTAAATGAACCTTTTACATGAAGAAGTAAGAAGCAACACATACAAAAAAAAAGTTTAACACGTTACTGTCATTTGTCACGGAAGCACTTGGGTGAATGCAACATTTGATTTTCTGCACAGCATTAAGCCAATGAAAGCGACTGTATAATGGAATCCTAATTAAAGAAATCATACTTTGACGGTGTATCATATCTCGACTTAAAGCCGTGAGCTAGCTTTATAATCTTGAATACAAAATTGGAAATAGAGTCGACCGTCTTGAGCTCTGTTTCTCACGTTCCAGATCGTCCCATCTCAGAAGATCTCGTCAGTAATCTGCTCACGCTTTTTCTGCCTGTCCTTGGCCCAGACGCGGCGCCCTCCATTAACGGAATACGGGTCCTCGGGCACTTCAATCTCCTGTGCGCCGGTCTCCTGGATACGCTTTAGACTACGCTGGCGAAACGCAGCTGCAAACGATAAGTGATAAAAGAAACACAAAGTTTGCCACTGTAAAACAACAAATTAAAGGAAACTTTGCAATCAGTTGATAATAAAGGAAACTCTTGTTTTTATCAAATTGTATCTTGGGTCTTTGGATGTTGTTAACTCTGCAAATGTGTAAGTTCTCCACATAGTTGCCTTCATGGTTGTGAATTGGAAATACACAATGGAAATAATGTCCAACAACATACAGTGCACATTAAACAGCATTCTGGGTTGCAACCCATTTTTCTGTGCAGTATAGGTCCTCCAGAAGCCAGCATTTCTTGCTAACCGGTGAAACATGTGAACCATTATGAGTTCAGGAAAATTCTGTATATGGTATAAGAAGCACCCAGAGATTGGGCCCAGCTAGTTCGAAATGAGCTTCAAAGAAGATTTGTGACTCCAGGGACATGCTTTGCATCACGCTTACCAGCATTACGGACAGACAGGGAGCGTAGCACAGCACGTCGAACGGATGAGCTTTGGTAGCCTGGCCCACCCTCGTCACTTGGATACAAACTAGATCCAGTGTCACTATCATTTGAGACAATTGACAGTCGGTCCATGTCTTTGGTCACAGCTGTAAGAATGGAAAAAAAAATAGTGTTTAGGTACATGTATCAATGTGGAATTGAAAAACTTGAAGGGTGTCAAGACAAGTTTTGAAATTTGGATTCTTTCTGGTAGCTTGGCAATTATTCTACCAGAATACACCATTTTACAAATTTAGCTTGAAGGTAGAAGGGAAATAAAGCTGAAGGATGTCATTATGTGCAGCCTCTGTCAGATTATTTATTTTGTGGGTCTGTTGGGGAGGAAGGGGAACAGTTGTCTTGATTACTGAGGCCGTTGTAACTGCTGCAAACTATTGAATGGTGGTCTTTTTTGCAGAGCGATTGGGAAATGTTTTGAAAAGGTATGAATGCTGACACTTAAATCCGTCTTGTGTAGTATTTGTGAAGCACTTGACTACAAAAGTGGCATGGTGATGTTACCTTTGTCATCCTTCTGTACCTCCCAGCTGTACATGGCTCCCATGCCCATGGCCTTGGCTTTCTCTGTCTCCTTCAGTCTCGCTTGCCGGCCGTCCTTTTTAGTGTTCTCCTTTTCAAAGTTGGAGCGTCGCATGTTGGACTTGGCCCACTTGCGACTCGCCTTTGTGAAGAAAAACGAATACCACGATTCCATAAGCTTTATTAGTCGTGTAAGTTTGTTCATGCTACCTATCACACCTGGTCTCTTTGAGGCCATGGCCTCTGAGGACACTGTTGTCTGTGGCTATGGCTGTTCACTGCACAGTGTGCATTGGAAAAGCCAAAGCCGTAGCCACTAAATACCTTATGATACATGTATGTAGACTGCAAAGAATTTTTTAAAAAATGCAACTTGAGGTACTTCAAATTCAGACTGAACTTGGTGGACTGGGGAAGCGAGCATTGTGAAGACTGATTGTATCTTTGCATTTGGTTGGTCACTTGACACAAAATGACCAAGTTGTCACAACTGTTGAACCCTTTTGCCATGCAATTTTCATGTAATTGGTGGCTTGTAGGACAATTGTGAAAGCACCTGTAAAAGTATTCATTCTGGATCCATAATTGTTTTGGAAAATTCATGATGTTTGAAGAGGGCTGGGGAGGGATTTGATATATATGGAAGTATCACCCTGATAACGTAATGACAATGAATGCACTTTACAGTACATGCATATCTTCATTTCAAAATGTGAATGTCTTTTTCAGAAGCAATTTCTTCAGCTAATGCTGTTGACCTGATAACCAATTCACCTATAATCCCCGTTTAACCTACTCATTACAGCCACATTAGTCAGCAGTTCACCAAAAGAGTCACCAAAAGAGCTATCCTAACACAGCAAGACCCAGGGGACATGTGCTTATTTGTTCTGTGTATCAGTATTTGGCCTGGCATCCAGGCTCATCTGAGGACTAACACAATTAGGACTTCAGGATTTCCTGACTGATGTAGATAATGGACGGGCCTCAGAGGTGTACAAAGCTTGAAGTTGGGGCTATGTGCACACAAATTTGATCGGAATTTTGTATCATTTGAGGTATTCTAGATTCTGTGTATTCAATCATCATTATACAGCTGTTCAAGTCCAGAGATGGTTTTGCCTTTGTTGAAATTTGGAAGTTTCCTACCTGTAGCTGTCATGAAAGTTTACATTCATAAATACCTCAGACAGTTTCCCTATTCGACAACGCGACCGTGTATTCACATTTGATAATGCCCACTGCAATTTGATAATGCTCCCTGCTTAAAAATGGGCTGGCACCTGGATATGACACAGTTTAATCCATTCCCAATGGTCAAAAGTCTGTGCACGCTTGGCATATAAGGAGATTCTTCTGGACTACTTGTGCAAGGAATACTCTATAGAATGGACAGGGGTGTTTGGAATATGAAAGTAAAAGTGTCGAACAAAATCCTTGGAAAGGCGAGAGCATTATAAGCATTCATTCTCCGGAGTCAGTCTTAAATGCACTACCAATGTTTAAGACCAACTTTAAGACCAGCCAAACACACATTGATTCCTGTTTTAAAATTTACACCAGGTGATGCAATTTATCCAGCCCACAAAACCCTACAGCAAAGAACTTTGTTATTTTCCTTATTATTACATTGACTCAAAATGATGACTTTTTACTTGAATAAAACAATCCAGGTATGTTTGACAACTCTGGGTTGAATTCTTTTGGGTTCAGTTTAATTTTTAAGAGAAGGTTCTGAAACTCTGACTGCCTCCTGTTTATTTTTGATTGCTTTCACAAAATGAAGTCAAGAGCGATTTTTTCTGTCAATTCCATATCATCATGTGTGGCATCAAGTTTTATCAGTCCACCTGACATGTTGTGTTTAGCTTGCATGATGTCACTGTCCCAGAGGTCAAATAGCAGTCAGGATGTCTAGCAAAACTATGTAACTCCCGATCAACATGCACTTTCTGTCGTATGACATTAGCGTCTTTAAAATCTTTCCCTAGTTGTACTTGGCACTGGTAAATCTTTACCCCCGAGGGTCTGTGTGGAATTGTGATATAAGTTACTCATAGGGTTTTATCAGATGTCTTTGGTGGTTAGTCCCGTGCCAAATATCCTGTGGATTTCCCCCGTTGTGGGATAGAATTCCCACTTCTGTCACTTCTCATCAGAATCTGGTCACAGTAATTGCTTGGCAAGGATGGTTAAGCCTTTTGGATTAAGCAAGTCTTTAACAAACTTCAAAGATTATTTGAAGGATTAAGACTTAAGCAGGGCCATCCAGGATTTTGAACTTTTTTTGTAATTTACACATAAGGCGCTAAGTTTATCAGTCTATGAAAGCCACATCGGGACACTCATTTCAGAAGATCCACGTACATGTACATGTAATTTAGATGGAATTAAGAAGCTCAGCCGATAATTACTTGATCCTTTTACTCATGATGCTAAGACTTCAGGTGGAATTTGCTACATCTCTGTGAAATGTACTTGTATTATTCTGGGAACAGACTCCAGTAAGTCATTCAAGAACTTTCCTGTACGGTTGTTGAAAATTCTTTTGTCAGTAGGGGCCAGCAAATGGTTTAGGAACGAGAGAAAGAGTCCGCTTGTGTTAAATGTTGTATCTAATGTTGCACTTTGCTACTTTCATTATTTCAGCTGGCGTGTGTGAAATGGTGTGACCATTCAGGGGTTATGAAAGAATGCAGAAAGCCCAGATTTGAGAGGAAACATTTCAGAACGTTACTATCAGTAAGCCTTTTGTGAGTTAAAGTTGAATAAAATCTGGAAACTGAGTTCTTTGAATTCAAGTGAACATAACAATTTGAATTCCCCATACTAAAGACACTGTTATACTGTACCTCATTTGGGGCAAACTTTTGTTCAGGTACGTAGGAGACACCTTGTACCAATATACTGTTCACAATGGATAAGAAGGGCACAAAGGAACCAGTCCATTCCAGATACACGTGGAATGTATACATTGTAGTTGCTATGCAAAAGCTCATCCTGATTGGCCAAGGCTGAGAAATTCAAATTGTTCATGTGCAATCAGATTACTCAGTGTACCGTATCAGATTTTATTCAAATTTCACCCGCATAAGGCTTATTACTGCTGAAGTACAGCTCACAGAGTTACCAAGTTAAGAATTTTCATCTCATTAACTTACTGATCGTCCCATTTCACTGGATTCAATTTGCTTTGCTGTTCGATAAACCGACAAAATCCTGGTTGCATCTTGCAAGACTGTAAAAGAAACCAGCAAACATTTTGTCAGTTACCAGGCATCATAACTTTTCAACCTCTTGGGGCAGATGTGAGCACCAAAAATATTTAAACTCCGTAAAAAGTTTGTTCAGTGTGGTGGAGTCCGTGTCTAAAAAATGACCGAAACGTATGCCAACCCCTACTTTCCATCTCACTAGTCATATTCCTTCGGAAAAAAAAGTATAATTATCGATAGGTTAGATGTTAATTTGCACAGTGCATGTGTGGCTTCATGTCACATAGAAGGAAGCTTTGTACTGTGGCATACTGAAATGGGAGCAGGTGTAATACCATCTAATACCATCTTTTCTAACTTTCTTTCTTGCACTACCAGCAATGTTTACTACAATATTAGCCCAAATCCCACCTTACTTTTGTGTCTTTATAAAGAGACCAACAGATTCACTGTCAATAGAATTGTTAAGTTACACATGCATTCATCAGTAACATGTGTGGAGTGCATGAACAGGGATGGGAACTGCGGACCTCTCGACCGGTGCCAGCAGTCTTGGTTTTTGAGTGATTGTGGATTGAAAATAACCTTTCTTGAGGGGTAGAAGTTTGGCTTGGCCAATTCATGCATAACCTTTGCATTTCTGTGACAGAGAAAGAGATCATAGTAGAATTCCCCATCCCATTGAAATGACCCCCAAATACAAAAAACTTTAAAGTGCTCTAGATTTTTTTTTTCAATACACAGACAATCAATATATTTGCAAACGATCTCTTAGAAGTTGCTAAACTTTACCGTACAGTGGAATTGTCAATGGAACTGGTATTGGAAACTATGACTGTTATGGTTTATTAATTACACCTCAGTTTGCTTTACCTGCTAGCTGTGCCATTTACTGCACGTATTACTGCACGGCATGAACTGTGAAATTGTATGTATCTACTGGCTTTGATATGACTGTGCTGTATGTATGCTTGCAATAGACTCTGCTCAACACTGAAGAGGGCGCTGTAGGGCTTACGAAGTAGGCCAGCTGAATGGCACTTATACTGGGGTAGTCCCATGTTTGCTCATTTATTCACATTTTAGAATTATAGAGTACCAGGCAATTTAAGAAAGGTTTAGCTGGCTCCTTTTCCAGTCATTACTTTAATGACATACAGGGAACCATACAGTTTGAAAATGACAGTCATTCCTCAATGGTACCCGTGCACGGTTATCATATTTGAAGGATGACAGCATTCCATGGAAATGTTCATGTATGACAGAAATTTAGTTAAGCATGATTTTCTAAAATCTTCCTGCTCTGAGCTTCCTAATATTTCTTCTATAAGCTACAAGCTGTGCTCTACTGCGTATAATGTAGCGCCCTCATCTTACCATCAGGATTTGTGTTCCCAACGGACACATCTCTCAATGTCTGCATGACTACGAGACAGATATGAAAGAAATGAAATCATGGAAAAATGAACAAAGGCTGCAAAAACCAACAGATATTTTGGCTAATTTTGCAAAATGAGAATATAGCAGCTTAAGATGTTTTACCCACAAATGTTTTTGACACAATGTAGATCATTTTAGAGCTTTAAGAAACTGGTTTGAATGTGAAGTTGTCTGGTAATGAACTGAACCTTTAGCGTACGGTGCTTATCAAGATGCTCACTTTTTGGATTGTCAAGTCGGAGAGCTGGCAACACCACGATGCTGATCCAGCAAGGCGTGTTGACGTCCTCCACCGCATCCTTGACGAAGCTCAGAGAGACGAGGCAGAGCTGCTTCAGTCGCCTCTTGTCAATCTCAGACTGGTCTGACTTCTTGGCTTCCAGGGCTAGCTGGATCTTGTACTCCTTGATGTCAAACACCTGACACAGATTTAATAAGAAAAGATGGTTGTTGGTAAGCATTTCATGTGCTTAATGCTCATCTAGCATCGTGTTAAAATTTTGCCTTCAACTCAGTAAACTGAAATATAAAATTGTATTTCTCACGATCACTGTCTTATATGTCAGTGAGTCTGCCCTTATCTGATTTTGATTAAACAAGATATTTATTCAGGATGAAGATTATAGCATGCTCAGCAGGTCATAGTCAAAATGACCTGGCTTCTTGCTGGAGTACATTTGATACAAGAACTTGACAGTCTTAAAGCCAGAGTAAGGTTCAGAGGCAGCTGAAAGACAGTATTGCATTGCTGGTAGCAATTCAAGATGGGTAAATCCTCGACAGCAAAGGCATGGGAAAACTCAAAAGTTGCTGTAGAGACCAGGTGCTTAACCTGAAGAATCCTGAATCCTCAAATTTTAATGGGGAATCGGGTTGGCGTAGTGGTTTTTTCCTCGCCTTTCACCTCTGCAGTCCAGGTTCGAATCCTGGCTCAGTCCACATGTGGATTAAGTTTTCAGTCCCTTGTTTCCGAGGGCTTTACCCAGAATATTCCTCTGGGGTTTTCCTCCCACCTCTAAAGCTGTAACTTCTTCTCATTGTCTCCTCTCTACAGGTTTCTTCGAGCTTGCGAGCAACAGTTCCTAGGGTGCTTTTTGAGGAATCCTCGGTGCCATTACCAGAAATAAATAATATTTTTCACCTACCCAAGGGAGGTAGGTTTAATCATTCTACAACTTGCCGCACTATATGGCTGTGAGTCAATTATGTCTGAGTCAAGACTCGTACCTTCATGGGAATGTTGGTCTCCAGGTGGCCCATCTGCTCAATGACATCAGCCGAGATGCAGTGGTTCTCAGGATCAAAGCAGCCCTTGACAAACACCTCGTTCTTCCCCAGCCTGGTGGCCCACACGTTGCCCTCCTTATCCACCTCGACTTGCACCCCTTTGCCGATGTGAGCCCGAACTTTCTCTGTGTGCTTGTCTCGGAGGGGGTTATGGAGTGCTCCGAATCCGAGCCTTGGACAATAAAAATTGTTATAACCCTCATGAAGAATTTGTAGAAGACTGCCGTAGTTTGTGCAAGGTTTGCATTAGGTTCAACAATACAACAGGGACAAGATGAAAGTTGCAAATCTAAACCAGAATTTTAGAGTAATCTTGTGCGTGGTTAGTGTTGGATCAATTTTGTTTAAGGGAGATATTAATTGGAATACTTGCTTTCCCTGTTGCCAGTGCTGCTTATTAAGAGCATGTATGCATAATATGCATGTATGCTGTCTGAGAGCTAATAGGAAAATCCATCAGCTTTCTCAGATGAGACTCATACCTACAACCACCGGCTTACTACTTCAAACGTCCTAACCACTTGTTATGTGAGTTGCTGAGGTTTGGCTGGCCAGCACTTATTCTGATATGTCACCGGGATCCACAATCCAGGACTGTTCACAGGTTTTTGTATCTAGGAGCTGTGGATGCTGGATATACCCAATAAGAGTGGTAAAGGATGCTGGACCCACAATTGCAATCCCTGAATTTGTTCCGTGATTTTCACAGTAACAAAGACTAGCATGTACCTTCCTGGATACTGGAACTTGGACCCATCTACGATGACTGCAGGCGACTTGATGTTGAAGTCTACCAGGCGACACCTCTTCTCGAGGAAGTAGACCTTGGCCCAGGCATCTGCGTCTATCCTAGGAAGCTGATACTCAAGCTCGTCCAAGAGTTCCTAGAAATGATCAAGTGACGAGGTTGCTTATCCTTTCCTTTGTGGAAAATTTATGTACCTTCCAGCTGAAAAATTACTTTCAAGACAGGAATTGGAGTGCAGATGATAAATCAGGTCGGTACTTTTCTTCTAAAATGCTATTAACCCTGAAAAACCTGGTTATTTTGGCCCATCTCACAGCCGGGGGGTGGATTAGGGGTGAAAATTCCACCCTCCCTAAGAACATGACTGTGCCACGCCCAATTTTTGTGTGTGCATTTACAGACACTTATCACTACAAAGGTGAAGTTTGAACTCAATCGGACGTACGGTTTTGTTATTATAGTCCTTTGACTTTCTTGGCTACATACGTGCCAATGTGCGTGCATTGAGCACCGCAGTGAAAAAGTATACACGTTTGGCCGTCTCGGGGAAATGAGCACTGTATCAGGACAGTATGTTCGACTTTTGGCAAAATAGTGTCAAACTAACCGCAAAGAGTGACTCCAATAACTCCTAAAGGCTCAACTCCTGAAATAAATGCACTGCGGCAATATCGGGAAAATGTTAAGGGGGAGGGGTGGAATCCTTGCCCCGGGGCTCTTTTAGGTTTAAACCTTTAGCTTCATTACTGATCTTTTTGTCATGCGGATTTTCGTTTAGAATTTTTGTAAAAATTTTGAGGCTTTAAATAGTTTTTGAAAGAGTTGTCGAAACCGTTTCTCTCTTCAATCTTTTGCACAGATCTTCACCACGTTCATCCAAGACAGGAACGTAAAGAGGGGTGGAGTCGCGTAAATGACTCTTCACGTTTTGAGAGCAGACTTTGCCTCCTTAGACGATTCAAACTGACCTCTTCGATTTTGCTCCTTTTCGTTGGTATCTGTGTCCTCTCCGTAGCCACCCCGTTGGTTGCTGCAGCCACTGGTACCCCATAGCTGTATCTCTTAGGCGCTGTGGGCGGTGGGACCTTCTTCCGTTCGTTCTGCTCGACAATGAGACGCTGTCTTTCGTCCGTTTTGACCCGCAGTTCACCCAATAGCATCTGGAAAAATCACAAACAAAAGTTGTCCAGATTAGCATAAAAATCTTTCCCAGTTAGACTGTCGCCGCATTTTTCTTTAAAATCTGGTAATCTGGAAAGGCCTGGTGATGTTTCACTTTCCCCGAGACTAAAATGTTCATTCACACAAAATTCTGCGTTCATATACAGGACATCACGTATACATCATGGATAAAAGGTCATCGCGTGAAAATAAAATTCACGAAGCGTTACAATCTTTAGAGAACATGATTCCCAACATGAATAGCTATTACGCTGATCATAGGAGATCCTTTTAACGTACGTTTCAAATGCCTTATCGGCGCGACAAAATTTTCGTTCATTTTCATTCAAGTATTTTATAATGCGCTGGCTTTTCCTTGTATTTTGGATGCTATAAACTCGACACGTTTATTGGACTTTCCTTGAAGTTGGCACGGTCCAGACGCTGCACTAACATTCTCACCAGAAATAACTTAGAGCTAATGATCAATTCCGATGTTGACTATTATGAGTCAAAATTCAGTCATCTGCGATTAAAAATATCTTGTCATTGCGCGAATGGTAATTTTGTCGAGTGGAAAAAAACACGTGTGCACAGGGGCGGCGCGTTGGTGACTTGTATTAGTCGTTAAACTCGCATGTGTCCTTGAAAGCAAAGCGGCCAAGTTCTTATATTGAATTGACAAATCAACCGCCGCTTCAGTATCCGACAAACTGTCGCGCTGATAACGGAAAATAAACTGGAATCATGTTTCTTTCAAAATGTGAAATCCTTGATGCGCATGGAAGCCGTGTGCCTCTTAAAATGTATTTTTTCTGAATGCATTCGTGTACACCATGCAGAATTTAACACTGATGGCTTTAACGCTTGATTATGAGATAAACATAGTATCATAATGAACTTTTGTATAAAAGTGTGGAGGAAAGTACTTACGTTGTGTGAAGGTAGCGGCCGCATCGCAATGCACGTCATCCTGATTATGTCTATAGCAACACCAATTCTTAACCGCTATACGAACTTAAAATGATTTGATTGAGGTTAGATCTGTCGATTTTATACTGGCTTATATCACTGCTACACGTCGCTAGGGCAACCGATGCTACGTCACCAGGCTTGAAACCCCTCTCAGAAGGAAGTTGAATCACCACCCCTGCCCGGTTAATGAACGTGTCGCTATCAGTTCAACTCTCTAATTGGTCCAATTTCCCCCTAGGAAAGGTGGAATGGTCCTACACGGTCTGTCCTCTGCCGCTATGTGCTGCGTTTCATCATGTGGACATTAGTTTGGCTACCGGGCTTACGCACGTAACATCCTTCTGTAAATGGGGAACAGGATGTCTAAAAATAGACTTTGGCTGTCTATTTTAAAATGGGTGAATTTACAGCGATTACGGACCCTGGATGGACAACTTAAATTTCTGGAATCAGAAGACAACCCTGGATAAACGAAAACAATTGGTGAGATCGGTCCAGTTTGAGCTTTGCAACAGAGGATCTGGATTTAAAAGAAAAAAAGTTGGTCTTTTTATATCAACAGTACCGACGCTAGAGATTATTGAAGTGTGCTGTGCGGCGGACTGTAGGGAATCAGCACTCGCAGGATTTGGCCAAGTTTCCCGCTGACATTTTATGGAGTCGATCGAAGAGGCACTACAGGGCGCATCCGTCGCAGACCGGGCCTCTGAAAATGAGATGTTTCCGGTTCTTCACTCAGAATCAGACTCTTTTAACTCTGCCGGTTTCTGAGAATTTGTCCTGAGAATTTATCCTTCATGGTACAAATTGTCGGGCATATTAAATGCCCTTAACATTTAATTAAGGTACGGGAGTGTGCTTCACACTCCAACAACCGACGCCGATTTTGTTTTCAGTTTCAATTAAAAAGTAGCTTCAAATCTAAATATCAGCCGCTAACAATGACTGGGTGAGCTCATTGTGTGTCATGCAGTTTGCCAGGTGGTTTGGGGGGATCGGGGAAACACGATGTCCCCAGTTGCCCAATATACGCCCGCGCTTCCTTCCTTTCTCGCCCACTAGCTGTCAGATATTCACGTCCAGAAATCCCCTTGATGTCGAGTTCAACTCGCCCCTTTACTTAAAGTAAATAAATGTTCCTTCGCTGTCATCAGAGCTAGGCCTACCGTGGTCATTTTTGGGGTTTTGTGAAATAGTATACTTAAGACCATTTTCCACGTATAGTATCCTCTACTCTATTAATAATTCGCTACTTGTTTCTTTCAGACGATTTCTTCCTTTGCCGTTATGCACTCAAAAGTTGCGGTACAGAAAGCAACGCCACACAGAATATTTGACGAATTTGTACCAAATTCGGCCGCGTCCTGGAAAATATTACCACTGAACTTTCACCTTACCTGCGTTGGGAATCATTTTGAAGACTAAGAGTATTTCATTGTTTTGTAAGCTTATCATCATGCAGTTAAATTACTGTTGTATTTTCTATGTTTTCTTTGAAGGAACGCCCTCTACTGATGACTGTTGGGGCGTAACATCGTGGAAATATATATTTTTTTATCCAACTTCAAACAATTTTGTCACCATTCACCAATTTCATTTTAAAGAATGAAAGTGGCGAAGTATTTGTTGAAGAAGATTTGTTGAATGCTGAAGAAACATTTAATTATTAGGACTAGGATATGGAGGAATGATCACTGACCTGTCTTTTCTTAGCTTCGAATCGCTCTTTGTCATGCTTGTCCATCTTCACGATTGATCGGAAGATTTTCTCGTTGTACACCTCGATTTCTTCCAGGAACCCGGCTATGGCACCTCGTTGCTTCCAGCCCTTCTCGCGGACGGAGCGCGTGAATTTCCGGCCCAGCCTGCCGCGCACGTACCGCTGGCAGGTGACCACGCTTTCGAGGAGTTGATCTAGGCGAGTGTCGAGCTTTTCCGAATGCCAGTACTTGAGGAAAACCTAGCGGGTGGGTGGTAAAAAAAAGTGGGTGGATAGGCTGAGTAAGACTGAAGTATCAACAGTCCTGTTGGCGGTATTGTAATTGGCAATGTGACAGGAGGCCTATATGGTTGTGCAAATGAGGAAGTTAAAAGCCTTGGGAAAATTCTTTTCGAGGCTACTGAGATATCCTATGCATGAAGACAAGCATTTGTCATTGGCAACAGACCAACTAAGCCTTACAACCAATCAATTAACGCGGAGAGCTCCTCCGTTGAATGAAGCATAGGACTGAAAATTACAAAGTGGACGCGATCTTACGTTCGACTGCCTGCAAAAAAACCCAACAAAAAACAAAAAAACGAAAACACGTATCTTCCGTCCAAGTGGCGGCCGGTTGCCTCTGCGGGAAGTGTCCGAGGATAATTGCAACGTTGTAATGCTCGTAAAAAGTCCACTTTTATACATTTTGGACGTTTGCAAAGTTCCAGTGCATTGCAACAAACACGTGGACTTGCGGTTAGAAATAACGCGCCCGTTCTAAATATGGAAACTGGAAATACGTCACACCTGTGCCTGCCCGGGCAACTCGGAGTTTCAGCACTCAGCGCGGGTATCAACGTGAAGTTACTAATCATAACATTCCCAGGGACCAGGGCTTATAGTATACTGATGACCGCTGGGAACATTTTAACGACCACGGGTAACGTATATGTCAGGGCCATACACAAGTTGTATAGAAATTACATTATCAGGTAGGCCTACACTTGCTAAATGCACAAGTTCCATCCAGATACACTTGTTCAGTCTGTAGGCCTATCCCCGATTTCCATGGATTTTTCACGGCGCAGTTTCGTCCCATTCACGGTTCCCCACTTTTAATGATTGCCTTTCTTCTCATACACTCACATAAAACTCCTGTTCTTGAAAGCCCAGTTTCCATTATCCCACTTTTTGTGTAGCCCAAGATTCGGGCATCCCCTTCCAGAGCCAATAGGGTGAAATTTTAGTAATCCAAGGGGGAGAAACAGAAAAGAAACAAACACAAATACAAACAACAAAAGCAACACATGCGTTGAGGGAGAAAAGTAACCCACTCAATCACGTGGAGTTTAGATTGAGTTTGGCATTAAATTAATGGCTAGTTCATCTTATCCCCCAAACCCAAATCGAGGGTAATTCTGACGCAAACGATAATGAGGTTGACACGAGCCACCACGGTTTTGGCTGTTGCAGCTTTGCTCTGGGTTCAAATAATCCATGGACATTTTCAGTGAAATAGAGCGACCAACAGCTTGCGTTGCGAGGTGCTAATATTTTTGCGAGTTCCACCCACGGACGTATATAAAAAAAAACCTGGACTAGCAACGCCTTTGTATGAAATAGAAGCCAACCAGCGGTCATTTTACCTAGCCGAATAATGGGTTGGCTCCCTTATTTTGACGCCAGGGAGAACAAAGGCTGGCATTGCCGGGCAAGCTTTGTATTCGGCTCGGTAAAATAGCCGCGAGTGGATTCAGCGATCTGTACAAGCTGATTTAAGGGCATTGCAAGTCCAGATTTTTTTTATATACGTTCGTGGTTCCACGCAACTGACCTCTAGTTCACCCTTTCCTCCTTCAAAGAGGGGTGGAGGACCCAACTCTTCTGCCCCGATAAATGACGCAAGTGCAACTTTCACTGGCATAACTACGACGTGAGCAAAATCGGTTGACAACAACTCCTCATGACGTCATCGTTTCGATTAAAAGTGACCTCTTTTCTTTCGTGGTACGTTTACATTTTGGGGACGGTTGAAAATAATCTATCCACGATTCAAACTAAAAATGTTTGTGCCTGAACCCTAACAGTAAGGGTGTTTGCAATATCATATTGAAATTTGAGGACTCAGGACTGTTAGGTTAAGATTGGGTGAAACCTCTATGGGTATTTAGTTTCTGGAGTTTTGGTATACATAATGTAAAGAGAAATAAGCGCATTTGGATAGAAACCGCGCCTGTAACCCACATTTCAAATGTTTCGTCCGTTTTAACAGCACAGTAAGTTTTAAATTTCATTCTTTTAACAAGATTTTTCTATTATTTGACAAGATGGGCTGCGTTGACTTCTGATCCTCTAAATTTGCCCAAACTGCTGCCCTGGACAGTGTCAAAACTTCATGAATATTCACACAGCGTGTCTGTCGTCATTGCATGACGACATCATAGACTTGTCAAGCCTTGCACTGCTTGAAATTTATGTGATCTGACAGCGCGCACAAGGTAGGGATTATGCGCTCGCTGAGTCCTAAAAGTGCGCAGGGATTACCTAATTATTTGGGGCAACTCTTTTTTGGGGAAAGCGGGATAAGCTCGGAGCTTCGGGTTCCCGATGTAGATAGCGAAACACGTCAGCTTCGCTGTGAGTTTTGACTGCTTTTAACAAAGCACAGGTGCCAAGAATGAGTATACATATTTTCTCGAGTGAGTGACCCACGATCTTTACGTGCGTAATTAATTAACAACGTCAACAAGAGTATTGTTTTAGAGAAAAATACCTTTCAACTTGCGTCAAATTGGACTTTCGATACCGTCAAATAAAATGTAATTGAGGCTAGCTTATTATTTTAACTCTCGCCAGCCACCGCTGAACGTTTTTACTGAGAGAAAAATACAAACTTCCCTCGCCGAGAGCGTCCAACTGTGAACCAGATAATTAGATTCTATCTTGAACAGTTATAATATTGAAATCATCTCATCCTATGTTTAAGTGTTTTGTATATATGTTACACAACAGCAGTCTGACAAATTTTTATGTTGTAGGTCTGTCACTCTTGAAGAAATATTTCGAAAATATTATCATGTTCTATGTCATATAAATATTCATCTTTTTTCCCCCTCAAATATAGAAATATAGGTTCAAAAGCAAAGCTATCAAAACAAAATACAGAGGACTCTTACTTTTGTTTTCCCGATCTCGTAGCCCGATAACCCGGCTGATTGCAATATCTTCTTACAAGAGGCGGCGTTGGCCTTTACACTTGCCGACAAGGGGAACCCTATGAACTTGTACCTGCAGAAAAGGCAAACAACACTCGCAACGACTGGACAACTTGAACTGGAAGTGGGGAATGCGTCCCGTTAATTGATTGTATATAATGAAGCCAACAGGGAAAATGAAAGACGCGAACGTCATGCACATTGTGTCAAGTGTGTTTATCATATCAAGAAAAATAATAAAAACAGTGATACTCTTATGAAGTGTGCCATCGAGATACGGGATGTGGCAGTTATCTATTTATGGTTTTATTTTTCCCTTTATAGCAGCTGATGGGGGGGGGGTTGGTTAAACCTACCAACTTGCAGTTGCGCCAGTGGAAGGATTATCTGGTATGAAAATGCAATTCACTTCCACGGGATTATTGTTGGCCATTATTTACAGTCCCTTTATGTAAATTCGTTGATCTAGCTTACCAAGCAACCATGTTGTTTGCACATGCGTTGTAATAAGGTTGGCCCTAGTTTTTTTATTCAAACATTCGGGTTTCAATGTAACCAGTATTTTAAACGGGTAATGATCAAGGATTTGACGTAATCCTATAGCTATATCGTTACTATTGTTTGAAGCTGTCTGAGACACGAAAACTTTCTGCAAGGTGTACTTGCGTGTGTGTTTAGACATACTGGAGTATAGTTTTGTTGGCCCTTACACTTTTAACAGACCCCGTAATTTTCGTGGATCGTACAGATAGTGAGGCATCAGGGTCGATCGTACCTTCTCATGAAATCTCCGAAGGCCAGCCGGGAAGGGAAGCCCATTCGCCGTATCTTGATGGTCTCCAGCACTCCGGTGTACTGCAGCTGCCGCTGGACGAGCCGGTCCTCGTAGAAGTCGTTCCTGCTCTGGCCGTTGGGCTTGATGCAGCGGACAAACTGCGGCTCCGCCCCGAGAATCTTGGCCATCAGCCCCGTCAAGGATTGCTGCGAGAAAAAGAGAGCTGGTTACAGTCGCGTTCGTCGCAGGTGTATTTTCCACGTCGTTTAAAACAAAAATAGTAATGCCGAGGAGAACATATCAGGAGTTTGCGCGTGCGTGGTGCTGCAATACAAAGTACACTCACCTTACAGGGGCCGGCAGCAAGGGGTGGGGCTTGGCAAAATCAAAGAATTTTTGAAGCACAAACTGGCTTTACTTGAACGAATCCTATGTCTTAGTTATTAAAAACTGACGGGGTTCGCTTAGTTAAGTAGGAAAAAATAAAACAATAAAAATAAAGTGTTTGTTATCAGAAACAAATGACTGCACCACCGGGCAGTGTGTTTCTGGCTTCGATGTCTATAAAAATATACTACATGGATAGAAACAGCAAAATAACCAACGTTTTGAATGAAATTAAAGTTCCTTTGATATTGTTATTGATTTACATCCATGCCTTTTAATTAATGTAACGACTCTGCATTGTTTCAGTATCTTTAGAGGGCCTGTCGTTGTGACCATACGATAACTTTCTTAAAGGCAACATTTTTGCCGTTGAAACTGTTACTGCTAATTATTATTGCCTTTTGGAGACCTCACCTTGAAATGTGAGCCGATAGAGGGCAGTGTTGTTTTTCGCTTTCCCTTGTCACTCGCTGGAGATTTTCCATCTTTCATTCTAAATAAACAGATCGCCAGAAGAATGTTACTGATACAAATCCTACTGGCTGTTTTTTATCACCAAGTTATTACAATAAGCATTCAAAATTAGGGGGAGGCAAAAGTGAAATGGCACAGAAATTGAACAGAATGCTTATAGAGGTTCAGATTACCTGACACTCACAGCATATTTCAATCTACGTATTTCTGACTGAAATTAGGTAGATAACATCTCCCACCATTCGGTGGTTAATCTGGCACCGACAATGGCATGTCCACTTACTGTTTCTTCAGCTTCTTTGTTGCGGCACGCGACAGACTGACCGTCCCATCATGGATGATCTTGGGTGGCGGCTTGCATAGAAGGATGTCCTTCTGGCTTTGAGGTACTGCGAATGGACTGGACTGTTTCCTAGTGAAAAAGAAATTGATTCCGATAGCTGCTGGTCAATAATTGTGTGGTTAGTGGTGCCTCTGACTTTAATATGCAAATGTGTGGCGTATACGAAAACAGCTTAGTTTTTATTCCAGCTTTGAAAGTCATATGGCCAATTTAATAATGTTCATGTGTTCATTACTTTTGACGGAGCAACGGTACTGCAATTTGTTGCACATTGCGACTTAAATCGAAAAGCATTGAAGGATAAGAGATTTTAGCTTCAGTCCAGGTTGTGGGTCTTGCTTTCGGCCCTGTTTAATTTGCTGGGGTTGTCTTCATTTTAGACGTATCTTAGGTCACGTAAAGGGCACCGCAGTGCAACACTTGCCAAGGCCGACAAAGAAAGGCATGTAAAGTCTTCATTGCTGAAACTTTCCTCTATCTCACCGTAAAATTAATAACGACAGGTTTTCTATTCAAATCTCATCAAAAGCATTACTTTCCTCGGCGTAATGTTTTGCTTACGTTTCTGAGATCTCCGATTCGCTTGCACTGAAGAGATATCTGAGAAGGCCGTTCTGGCTATGAAGCATACTGTCCGTCAGATTGGCGCTGAATGTGTCTCGGTTTTTCTCCAAGAAACCACGAGCGTCATACCATAGCTTGCGGGGATAATAAGTGGAAGGCTCTATTGCTACAAAACTATAGACCATTCATTGCTTATTTTTATGAGCGAATTTACGACGTGGTTCTTTTCATGAATTATTCGTGTATCATGTTGGAGACCTAACGAAATTTTCAAGTTTGAACAGAATTTCAACCCAAAACACTGAGCAACTTTAGTCTTCCCGTAAGCGTTTTTTTCTTTTCTACATGAATTGGTATTCATTTAGGACAACATTTAATTAAAACAGTAAACAGTTCTATACACAAATAACTATTGGTCGCATTGTGTTTTAAAGATATTAAACAAACCCCCCTTACATGAACATCTGATCAAGAACACAACTAAATAGCACTACCTTTAATTAATGAGTGGGTTGTATGACTTACTTCGCCCGCGTAGTGGTTGATGCCAAACTTTGCTTGACCGCGGGATTTCTTCTCTTTGAGGAAGTTACTGTTTTTGCCGTGATTGCTGATGAGTTTGTTGACAAATGTGACGTCAGTGGCTTGAGGGAAGCGACTCTCCTCGTCTAGAATGGAGAACAATCCCAGTGGTTTCTGAAGAAGTAAAAGGACCAAAAATAAATTAAAATACATGCAACAGTGATAAATAAAATATACGAGAATACTGCAAAAATACTTAAACATCCATCTGTTCTGATGGCTTAAGGGACCCTTGGATTGTCTTCTAAAAATGGGTTTAATTAATTATGGTACAATCTCACTTTATGACACCTATCTTTACTATGAAGCCATTACTGAGACAGCGTGAAAATTTGGTATCCTCTGGCTACACGGCGTCCGTTTCTGCCATGATTTGTGTTTGGAGGAAGAAGCCTTTTACGAACTAAACCGGTAGTACATAACGGATGTCTCGCAGACACGACCCGTGGCGTCACTGACTGTCTTAGGCATGGGTCATGCACAATCTGATAACACACTCATAACGATGAGTCTGGAAGCTCGTTTCAAACACGGCCATAGAAATTGTCTATGAAAACCTGGACAAGCTAAGCCCACTCTGCAGGCGGATTCCACACTCACAGCGAGGAAGAGATCCAGAACCGGCTGGTTGTCCTGGAACTTGATCTTAGCGTGAGAGATGCCCTCGCTGGCGTACTCGGCCAGCTCCCATGCGAAGATGCGCTGGTTGAAGTAGTACTGGAGTTGCTCGTTGGTCACATTGATGCAGAGCTGCTCGAAGCTGTTCGTCTCGAAGCTCTCAAAACCGTAGATGTCGAGAATACCGATCTCATAGCCTTCTGTTCCACTGTGAAGAAATCGTGAGACAGGTTCGGAAAACGTTCGCAACTGTTTTTGATTTTGACAGGGCTGATTGTCATACATGTACTCAGCAGTTTCGATTGATTGGCGCTGGACGAGGGAAACTTCTACGCAATCTATAACTGAAAAAAATTCTCGATTTTTTTTCTCTGAAAAAATACCGCTATGCAATTAAATTTTGCAATCTCGATTCACGTTCTCTTTCCATTGATCTCTCTTTGTTGACTGCAACAATCCAGCTACCAACCCCTTAAAAAACCGGTGATCCATCACCATGTGGTAGTGGTGGTGATTTACACATTTTAGTAGTGATGGTTTGGATGTATTTGTGGTGATGCAATCTGGACAGGACAGTGATGTGTTGATAATGATGATCTATCGATCGTGTTGTTGACAATGAGAATGGTAACAAAGATTGCCCTGGTAATGATGTCTTTGGTGTATTTGTCATAGAGGTACCTATGACGACGGTGATATTTCTGATGACGACGGTTTTGATAATCATTATCTTGATAATAATAGGTGTGACCGACCCCAGTGTAAAACTTTGATGAGATGTGACATTGATGACCCAACTCACCCCTGTAGATGTGGATCCGGGGCGATCAGTGAGTTCACTTGCCGTACAATCCACGTAAACAGCTTGCTGTACAGAGCTTTGGCCAAGGCATCACGTCCATCGTTGGCTTGCGCAACCGTCTTTAATGTTAATATCTGCTCGCCTATTACATAAAAAATGGTTACCTCCAGGATGCTTTCTCTTTTGCAACAATGGTCAGTTTTATCCTCAAAACCTGTGAAAATTGAATCTTCAACTCTGTCCAAGTGTGTCTCTGTGTGCTCTTGGCATTCTAAAACTGCCGGCAATTCAAAAATAGCATTTGATGGACCGTGGAAAGGGTCCGAGTGATACCTGTACCTACCTCGTGTGTATGACACATTCGATACGAGCGCAGTGGCCATTTCAACCACGTCCAATCCGAGAAGATTACACACTGAACGAATGAAAAACAGAAACAGGAAAAAAATCACATCTAAAATACATGTATTTTTCATACAAACATATCATTTTGTTTTAAACAGACACCTCAAAATACTTTGATAATGTTTCAACTGTGGGAAAAGCATGAGTTTTTGTCAGAACAACGGCATGCATAATTATTTCCTCGTCTTTGCCGTCCACTGCGTGCAATTTCCGAGCAACACCTAATCTGACCAAGAACGATTTTATAATTAGCTTTAAGCCATCCAGCGATTTTAATCGAGCGAATAACGTGAACTCCCGCAAACCACGTACCGACTTTGAGTATGTACTCGTCTACGATGTAAGAGCCACCTGTCTCCTCATCAAAATCAAAATCGATATCAGCTATCTGAATAATCGCCGACAGAATGGTGAATATCATCCAGATATCCTGTACAACAGAGTACACAGAGTAATTGATTACCATAACGTTGAGTATTCCAATATAATCTCGGAAGGCTATGAATATTAGACCGTTTGACTTTGAAAATGGCCCCTCTTAGTTTGCTTTCAGTATAGGCCTACATGTACTTATTGCTCCAATAATGCAAGAAATTAAATTCACATATCTTGCGAAATATCGAGAATGTATCTGTCAAATTTAATACTGTGTCTGTGTATTTTTGCTAAAGAGCCGACAAAGTGGCAAATGTCACAGAGACTTTCACTAATCCATTTGAATAACCGCCGTGCTAAAATGATAAATATCATGAAGATATTGTCTGCATTCCCCAAATATAATATTTGGATCCAAAATCCAACCTCTTGTGAGAATCCCACGAGCTCCATTATATCCTGCAGCTCATCATACATCTTCTGATTGAAAAGAAACTCCTCTTCACTGTCGTATACGCCCTGACCTTGTACGGCGTTCAATATCCTGCAGTTATATTACAAGCAGGAAATTATCCCGAAGTTAAAGCTCAATGAATTATTTCCTTTATTAATGCAACAAGAGAAGGTGTTGTATGCGTTGTATCGAAGTGAGAAAGCCTGCATTGGGCCAAGCAAAAATTTATGTCAACCCTAGCTTTGTAGTTGCAGGGCTGTCGTTATATAAAAACAACTTAGCTTTCGTTTCCCAGTAGTGTATTCACATTTTCTCTGTTTTTCCTAGACAATCTACTTTGATGCAAAAGCGAAATCAGGAAACACATGCCAAAGATAAACAAAAGGCTGATAGGTTTTAAGTGTGTTTTTGTTTCCGAGTGCACTTATTCACAAGTATTACTGTTTTTCTCTCCCACAAGAGTCCACTTTGATAAATGCAAATACGAATCAGGAAGCATGTTGAAATTGTTCGCTGATTGAGTTGTTGAATCTCCTGATCAATCTCTACCCAAGACGTCCAACAAAATGAAGTCAATGAAACAACTACACGTTATTTGAATTTGTACCAAGTTAGGCCTACTTAACAAATTATGAAATCGAATACTAGCCTTTGATGTTCGAATGCGGATATTGAATTAAGAGAATTCAATTCAAAATGAATCCTTACTGAAATTGGTTGGAAAAACGTATATATACTCTCTTACAATTGTTATACGTATCGTATGAATAACAATCAATCTTGTGAATTTTTGAATTAAGTTGTCAGTTTCTATGAACTGGAAGGACTGTAGCATTTACTTCCCAGTTCTTTGTTCAGAAGCTAACTAGAGTTTTCGGCATGAGCCTCTTGATGCCAGAACAAATGGGGACGCACGATGAATTGATCAGCATGAGTTTCACTTCCCTTAGTGGTATCCCGTACCTGTGTTTTTCGGGGGGTGACAGCAGCAGATTCAACAGCTGCTGTTCCGTCAGTCCGGCAAACATGTAGTAGAAAATGTGGAAATTTCTTTCTTGTTTTCCTTGGCTGACGACACGAGATTTCTCGAGGAGATACTGATCAATTGTGGCTGCAAACAAAACGTAACAAGGCACGGTTTCATATTTGGTTCCACTTCATTTATGAACTTACATGTAAGGGAACTCATTTCAAATTAACAGCATTATGAACTGCGAAGTTGACTGTAGGTTGTTTTTGATGAGAGCCTTAATTTATTTTAATTATGAAATTTTTGTTAAAATTACTTAGCTGCATGCACAAGAGGTATTTGGTCATCGATTTTTGTCCATACATTTAGAGTAAAGAGTGATACCCGTGGCAAAATTGCAGGTCACCTCAGAGTGAGATTCGTTCGGCATATGAAATCAAAGTAAAAATATGAGTGAAAACGTAAAGAATTGCAGGTACCTCTAATTTTCAACCGATGATGGTGATGATTTGCCTGTTCTAGAGGACCTGTTTTATTACTTACCTCCCACAATCCTTCCGTCATGGCAAAATTTCAGCTCAATAAACTTGCCAAACCGACTGGAGTTGTCATTCATGACGGTTCGTGCATTGCCGAAAGCCTCCAGAAGTGGATTTACCTGCGAACAAAAGATGAGAAAATCCCCAGATATACCCGTAAATCTTCACGCGATATTTTTGCTATTTTTCCTGCATTTTACAAATTTCAAGACTTTCTGAGGCCGATTAGAAAGTATTAAGGTAGCAAAACATTTCTCGTCTTTGGCTGAACTGCATTCAATAACTACATGTACATGCATTCAAAACTGTACGCAATCTTGACAAACCGTGCAATTTCTAAATTGGATTTTCACACCTGTAGAATTTTTTCCTGCAGGTTTTTCTTGTTGCTGCTGCAATGGCTGATAATGTGACCAATCAGGTACTTGGCGCTCTCGGTCTTCCCGGCTCCCGATTCGCCACTGATGACGCAACACTGACGCATGCCTAGTCGCTTCATGCTGCCGTAGGCTTTATCTGCGATGGCGAAAATGTGGGGAGGCAGCGCTTGTCTGTACTGCAAGTTTGTGTATGAACATGAAATCTGAAAAAGAAGTATTGTAAATAAATTTCGGAAAATAAATGAAACTTGGAATTAATTGTTTTTACATGACTGATCGAAAAAATTGTCTCTTCTGGGCAGGATATCTAAATAAGGGTTAAAATAAAAAGCACAAAAGCGTCTTGACTTTTTAAAGGAGAGGAAAGCATGGTGTGTAGGCCTATCAATAATATTTCAAAATTCAGAGAAAGAAAGAATTACGACCTCTCTATCCTTGTTTTAATGAGATGAAGCCCGCAAAACGGATTGTGAAAATTCAGAGAAAGAAAGAATTACGACCTCTCCATCCTTGTTTTAATGAGATGAAGCCCGCAAAACGGATCGTGATAACCGACACATAAGACGAGTAAACAAGTGTAATGAGGAAAAAAATGTAGGACATTTCTGTAATGAGTTGAAAGCATTCGACAATAATTAAATGGAGCCAATGGATTTATCTCTTGGGACTCCATTAAAAGGACTATCCGTTGTAATTTATTTTATACAGTTGCAAAGTATAGGCTTAAGGGTTTTCTTGCTTTGGATGGAAACGAATGCAATAAGAAATTTCAAAAATACACAGGGAAGATATTTGTCTCACCTGATACGAGTAAATCGGAAGCGGTTTGTAGGGGTTGATGGCAATAAGAATATCGCCAATGTACGTCTGTGAAAATTAAACAGAAATAAAAATATGTCTCGTTTATTTTAAACAGGTTGACAAATTAATTAATGTTTAATCAAATACAAAGACAAAAACGCAGTCACATCGATCTAACACTTTTATTCAAAACAGGGTCTTGCATGTTTTATTTGATAAGAGAGAAATGTATCTCCGATCCCAACTTGCTTTTCGTACACTAAAATGTCGGTTCGAAACAACCTCTGCAAAAACCAAAATACCCAAAAAATTAAAAGCCTGCAGAAAAAATTCGTCTAGCAAGAACATTTTTTTGTATCGAATAAATACAAGACTGTTCTAAGGGGGGGGGGTCTTTATTCAAAGGGAGTAACAGCTCTTCGTGGTTATTAATCAGTAATAACTGACGACCCAAACTCTTTTTTCTTCTCAAATTGATTCTTTTGTCTTGAGGTCTGTATTTGTGGCCAGGTGATCGCAGGTGAAGACTATATCCTTTTATGAACCGTGCAGACGTTTTGCCGACAGGTAGACTTGTACAAATACCCACAGCATTTCACGCAGGGTTTGGCTCATTATGGTTACTGTTAATGGACGTAGGCACACGTAGACTGGCGCACGTTTCTATAGGATTAAAGACTTGGCCGTGGGTCTTCGGTGGAAGGAAAGTGAAGCATGATGTATCCACATGGCGTTGACGCTGATATTCATTGTAAATGATGTAGCAAAGAACTGCGTGCCACGCCGTGCCTACCTATGAAGTTCGTTTTGCACAAAAAACTGACATTTCCGATAATGGCTATGAATGGCGAGGCTGGTTTATACGCGGGGAAATTCATCTTGTGGGGTTCAATTAAATGTATACTTTTCTGTGGCATATGAGAGAGCAAGAAAGATGTTAAGGCCATAATTCACTGAGGTGTACCTTGCATATTAAAGTCAAAATTCCCTCCCCCTAAAAGTGGACATTTACTCTTGAAATATTAGCCCAGACCTGCCATAAACGGTGAATCAGCGTGATATTTGGCGGGAGCAGGGGAATCAGGAAGTAGATTTACGATGGCGAAATCGACAATTAAGGAAGTAGTAGTATGCACAAATTTCGCTTCAAACGAAAACACATTTTACAAACAGTACAGTTGCCCATCATCTTTTCTTTTGTTGATTGCCATTATGGTAAAGCTCATATAACTCACCCATCCAGTCAAACATTGTAGCCAATAACTACTAAGCTTTTTTAAAATGCGCCAGCCTAATTTCTGGCAATATAATGCAGGCTACTGATTGTTGGCCAGTTCTGCTCAATACATACATTTTATGCAAGCAACATTTTCAGCTCAGCATGTCCCTGTGGGCCTAAAATTAAAACCAAGGAAGACTAAAGCCTCTACTCACGAAAGAAAAAAATTGTTCTTACATAAATGACGTCAGTTGCGTATCTTTTCTTCAGTTCGTCCAAAATGGCGGTCTCATCTAGCGACTCAAGCGTCGCAAGATCGTCCACGAGCCGCAGCGTCATTCTGACCAATTACGATGGGGCACGCAGAGCCTTTGGACGGACAGAGGTGCTCTTCGATGCTCAGTCAAGGGGCACTGTCTGAAATCGTAAAAAAGTACAGTATCAACATTCATCAACAAATTTCTGATTTATCACAAATGCTTGAGAAAACTCTGTAAGTCCGAAAAAGTGAAACTGAGAATCATATGTTTTAGAGTGAGCATTTCTATGTGTTTTAGATTTACATTGTCTAAAAAGAACCCAGCTGTACCAGCGGAAACTCGAGTGAAATCTCAATCTATTGGACTGAAGAAACTCACTGAGTTCGTCTGGCCCCGAGTTCCGATTGGCGGCAGTGAATTTTATTCACAACGAGTGAATATTGACTCTTTGAACTTAAGAGAACCCCCGTCCAACATTAATTAAAAAACAACCAACACAAAGTTAAAGTAACTAACGAAAAACAATTCAAAACAAGAAAAAACACCGGTAAACATTTATGTATACTGTATGGAAGAACCGTATTGCATCTACACAAAATCCCCTCACGAAACAGATAATTATGATCAGGCAATTCGACTGCAGTGCAACATTTAAAATGGTAGAAAGTACAAATGTGTTTTTGCAGTTGTTGACCTGATGATCTCGAAAATGACGTAATCGCGGGTATACTGGCGCGTGTCACGTTTTATAATTGCGTGACTATTTAGAGACACTTGGCTTGAAAGTAGAAAGCAGTGGTCCTGAAAAAATCCGCCATTTTGGGAAGTATTAGACTTCCATATTTTGAAACACTACCGTGTCACTTTTAAACACACTAACGTGTTGAAAAATATAATCATCAATACTTTTTGTCCCTGCTATTTCCTGATAGTAAGTCTAATTTTATGCAATTCTCTGTTGCCACATTTTGAATACTATTGCTCTGCCTTCATTAATGAATGCACGGAGCGACTAAGGTACACTCTTATGACTGTGAATGTTGACAAGACAATCTCTGCTGAAGTGTATATACGATTTTAATGGGTTCCCCTAAGAGATCGATGGGATTACCACAGTAACACCATCATTTACAAATTATAAATGACAATGCTCCGACCTACATGTACCTCTCTGATTAACGTATTCTAGCTCTTGAAGTATAATTTAAATAATGGCTTAATGTGCCTTTAAAGTGTTTTTATCTATACATAATCTGCTTATTATAATTCCATGTCTGTTTCATTGTAACGTTTCATTTTTTTGTTATCTTTGCGATTGTAATAATCATTCTTCATGGTTTATTTTACCCAGGACACCGAGGAGAACAGATCATTGACAACTGACGGCCTAATTCTAACTACTTGGTAAGATGGCAAACAGGAACGCAAAATTATAACTTGGTTATCCGTCAATATATCTATCAAAAACTGGTAAACATTGCTGATCGAGTGAGCGAAGTCGTTACAGTTATTAAGACTTTGCAAATACGCGAGCAAATGCCCAATTCTGTAATATAATTGCTCTCGTATGAACGTATAAAAATCTCATTTGTTTCGCATCTGAATGCAAAACATTGTTAAAGTACGCATTTATGCAAATCAAAATGAAAACAATCCGGATCTTACCATAAACTGAAACCGTTGCGTCTATCCTCACCCCAATATTATTTACTTCGTGCATTTATTAAATGAAATACAGTCAATTATAATAGTTTAATATACATTTAGCACCCATAGATCTGTGGGTACTTTCCCCAAAATTACCGGTACCCATATATCTCTCCTATCCAATGTGAATTTTGACGCTCAGCAACGAATGTAAACAGCTGTTTAAGCACAGAAGCTTTTTTTTTCGAATCGCTAAATTCACGCCGATACTGTTTCACATGCAGTATCCGTAAAAGTGCTGTGTCGCAGCGAGAACCAATATTTGTCATGGTGTCGAGCGCGGCCCACGGCTGATTCATGCAAACAATAATGACGACAGATGCAAAGTCCAGTCCAATTGCATTGTCACTGTGTGTTATTCATTAACGGTGACAGTGCACTGACGGGCAAATATGCTTACATAATTAAAGTTAGATGCTTTAATGCCGGTTTTGTGCCTTTGGCAAAGCGAAGCATCGTAATATGTCATGCATGGATGTTACAACTCATTCAAGTATACAGTAAACCTATCTCAATGACGAAAATGGAAAAGGCTGAAAAAACTGTCTTGATCAGACTTGTGTCAAGCCCTAAAAATATTTAGGAGAAGAACCTTCTATTTTAGATCATTATTTTCTGATGTTCTGTTAGCAGGTTCGTGATATAGGAGGCTGCAAGTAAATTACTAATTTAAACTCTGGTTATATGTACTTAAGCATTCTTTGTTCGGATGCCACACTGCATGACTATACGAATCACGGTTTCATGTGCAGCAGCGAAATGAAGCAGTTTACCTAATGACTTAGACAAATTTGTGCCAGTCACAGTTGTGCGCGATCGCCCTCGGTCAACACGACAAAAGCAGTCACCGCTGGGACTGTAGACTCGTAGGATGAAGTTAGCTTTCATGTAGGTCCTATAAGTCTGAAAATAAAACACCGATGGCGCAAGGTGCTGATATCGTGAATTTGACAGCGGGTGGACAGATAATCGGAGACTCGGGAAAACCCCCTCATAAAACAATCGATATTAATAGCTAGCTAACCTAAAACTTAGAGGTCAGTTCGACCCGAAATCTGGACCCCACTTGGGCCATAAACCAGATTAGGGTCAATTTGACCCAGGATATTTAAAGTGTACAATGGCTTGTCACAACCAATCCGCTAATTCAAGTCTTATCTTGATCAAAACACGCAACAAACATACCTGACACGATCCCTGACACTGCTGTCGCAGGCGAGTAAAGTTGTTTTCTCTGAAGAAATTTGGAAGTCATCAAAGTTAATAAAATGCACAACATTTGGTCCTCGCGGGCGACCAAAACACCACTGTCCACTACATTATGTATCAAGTGCATCTGAAAGCACGTTATAAAACATCTTCCACAACTACCCAACTTCCTGTATGTATGGGAATGTTCTGGGCGCATGTTGGATCCAAATATTAAATGCTACATGTAGACGCTTGCAATGTGGCAGCATGTGCTTTGTCATCCATTTCTATATAGTGATTTTTTAAACAATATTTGCCGACTCGATTCGGAGCTTCTTACACAATTCCTAGTAGCTTAGACAAGTTAAAGATGTGTTTGATGCAGCTGTTGTTCCTCAACCCAGTCTGAATTACTAGAATTAAGTGAAACATCAACAATTCGTCGCCAGAAATAGCCGTCCCTCCATTTGCATGCAGGCGGAAAACTGCCCCAAACCTTGAAAGTTGCCCGTACATGTACCTGTGCGTTTTCGGTTCACCGAAGTTGACGTCACAAAAGTGTCGTGTCTATACGCATTGTTGCCTTTTCCAAAATATGTGGGAGCAAACGAGGTCATGGTAGATTGTGTGATTGGCACTATAATTGGCAAAGTCTAAATAAGGAAAGCAGACTCGCAAACCCTACACGCACCAAAGTATATGTACTCACATATTTAAATTTAGCAAATTAATGCGTGTGCGAAGTTTGATTTCAAATGTACGAAAGCCTTGTGGTGCCATCAAGTATCACTTTCAAACTGTGAAGTACAGGACATTTATCGAATTTCCTTCCTAGGAGATATTTTTCCACAGTTTGTTTTATGAGAATTATATTCAGAAACGTTGTTTGTATTTTTAGAAAACAAATCGCTTTTACTTGATATGTTGCCTACTTCGTCATGTGAGATTTACTGAAGTTCCTCTCTATTTGTATTCTTTTAAAATTTAAAATTAACTTTAAAAACATTTATCTGGTACAAACAAACACTATTATCTGGTTAAAACAAGTTGTGTCAAAAAATATAGCGTATATAAATACGAACAACTTCAGGAATTAAAACTGTGTCGTTAACGTAACATGTCGTTCATAAAGACGAACTTCGCAAAATATACTTCCCTTTTTTGGAAAATATATTCTTGATTGCACTACAGGGTTTTCATAAATGTGTCCTCTCGAGTTACTAGGATTCCTTGACGGTAATTAAACGCACTTGCAAGCACTATACACTGTAATTGTCAACTAAATGTTTTCTCTGAGGACATTTTAATTGCTGGTCTATCATCGAGAATAACATCAGTTCCAGAGTTTTCGAAGGGCCCTGTAAGTTCCTTATGGAGATAGACATGTACTGAATGCACAATGGAGCAGGCGTCGCTGCATTCACACTGAAAGCTTAATAACTAGTGTTGGAAAGTATGGAGGTTCTGCCGGAACAGGGTCCATTGGACTAACATATTTCCAATGACAAGGCCCTTTTAACCAAAAAGGAGAAAAAAGGGGATGAATGTGAGGAATTCGTTTGATTTTTTCGCTGTTTATTGTTAGAAATGAACTGATTTGAATTTCCACGGTCATGGCCATGCGTCATATGTCGGTTTGTAGCTTCCTGTGTAGATAGTGTTAACACTCATCAAAATAGGCCTTCAGTGGAATTTTTTCCTACGTCAACTCCAGCTATAACCTTGATCTGGCTTCACGGTAACAAAAGCCTTAATATAGGGAAACAATAATTCAGGTTAGCCTATCAAGCGAGAAATATCCATACACTGGCACAGCTTAACACCCTTCCAAGCAATCCAGTCTTCTTGCTAAGGTACACCACGAGAGAACCATATTTTCTGGCAACTGGTCGTTATGTGTTTACCGTTGGCAGACAATCCAGACGAGGCACCCTGCAAGTTAATGCGATCTCAGGTTGACCAGGTCAGCTACTCTTTCATGATGACCATGCTAATTGCGAACTTTGAAATGGGATAATGTAACTGCCAAAAGAAAAAACATGCTCAAAATTTATCGAAAGATGTTGAACTTTGGAAATTTAAGGGGAACCTCTGATATGTTCGTGGAAACCTTTACAGGTTTACATAATGCCCGGCATTCCATTTAGAACAATCTCTGCCTTATAAATAACATCATAAAGCACAATTGTTTACTTTCAAAGTTGAAGAGTCTAACAACGATGTAGGTTACCCCCAAAAGCTTTCCAGTGGTTACGGAGTTTTCCATCAGAAAGACCGAATTTCTTGTCCTAATGGATTGTGCACACAGTTGAGAAAACGTTGGGTTTTTGTTTTTTGGCTATATATCCCAGAATTCTCCAACCTACAGAAGAAGGCTGTCGACCCAGTTTTATTTTTGGTGCTACCCACCATGTTTAAAAAAGGTGCCACCCACCTTTAAAATCTCGGAGCGAGGTGAAAAGTTCTTATCTTTTTCAATCAACACCACGTGAATATCTGAAACAGCTTTCAATTTTCACAATGAAAAAAAAGTACTGCTACTCGGAAATATACAAGACATTTTACTCCATGGGGGCCCTGAACCATGTGTTATATTTATCTCCATTTGAAAATTTACCCTTTCAGTAATTAATTACGCACTGGAAAGATGTGGAACTGGAAATGACCTTTAAGTAATCAGTCCGGACTAACGAGACAAAGTTACGAGAAAAGAGAGAAATATTACGAGAAAAATACATTAAAAAGGCGAATTTTCGACCCTTATACAAGACAGATCTGAAAACAGAAAGGCATGATTGCTCATACCCATCACACTGTCTGCTGTTTGTTTCTCTTGTATCCAAAGTGATACAAATGAATACATCTGCTTCTTTGAAGGCCATTACAAGTGAAACATACATCCATCATTCATATAAACTAATATATAACCCACACAATTTGTTTCCCATATTCCTGTTACAAAATTAGTATGTACATTTCCCGTATGCATAAAATGGCGTGCATATGCATGCTGCAGATAATTTGTTGCTTCTCTAATAAACTAACGGCCTGAACACAACACTTCCTTCCTGGAGATCAAATTTAGATGGGGTCTGGCTCTGCAGCTACAATCAAAGCACAGAGGATTAACACATTTTGTATTATGAATTTATGGAGAAAAAAAATACTTCCCGTGATTAGAACACCTACCGTATCGAGTAAAATAGATTTTGGTTTCTTGTAGCAGGTTAGGCCTATGCCTTTAAAGGTCTACATGTATTTCATGTGCACAGACTTACACTTTTGAGCAAGCCAAGATTCTGTAAAGAGGCACTCTGTGTCCAATCTTCTCGTGGGTTCGTGGATGGGCGGCGGAATCAAAGTCCTCCTAGACAAACTACATAATATATATATTTCTAAATTTCCTCGGGATCATGTGAATCTATATCTCAACCTCTACAGTTGATGACGTCAGTGTGGGAGTAGCCCCACAAAAGCTGCTGAATTATTTTTAGGGGCATCTCTTTTTTTGTATTTTACTGCTCATCATGCTGAAAATGCTAACTGATCATGTCCCTGTCAAAAATTCTATCAAATGACGCAGTGAATTTATTACAATTGCTTACCAGAAGTAATCGAACCAGAATCAATTGGTCTGGTTTTGATGGCAGCACAGTGTAGATAGACGATATTTGCCGGTTTGCTCTGGAACAGGTGACTCATCAGTCATCCGGTTATCGTCACAGAAGCCAAGTTTCCAACACCGACATTACATATCGATTAGTGATTTGTTACCGAGTCTGCAAAGCGTTCAAAATGATGCCATTAACAACCAGAGTGGAGTAGGCTAAGCTTTAATTCACGGTGATTACTGGAAGGTATGATTTCTGATCGATGTAGGCCTACCCGATCCAGCGTAGATGCAATGGTAACGATACTGCAGTATTTTGTGCAATGACCAAGGCCAATGGATATCCACACAGTGTTGAGGAGTCCCACCTGTGACATGGTTCAGTGGGTCGCTCTTTTGTTATTAAAATTCGCATGCCAATAGACTGGTGCTCAAGCATCATAACGCCGTTTCGTATTTTCCTTGTTTACACACTAATAATGGGCAGCTGATTCATGTTTGCGTATAGAGGGCGTTATGGAGCAGACAGAAAAGTTGCGTGCTGGATTACCACAGAGGTCGGAAACCTTGGCGCTGCTGATGAACCAATTATTCAAAGGAACAAATTGCTATTTGGCTTATAAATTAAGGACCACAAACTGGTGGAATGGGCCTACGTACTTTTAAAGCAAAGTTTGTGATTCTTTTGCATGTTTAGTTTCTAAGATCTCTACTCTCAAAGCATTCTGAACCCCATATTTGCCTAGGATCCATCCCAAAATAATTGGATGATTTCGAACTGTATGATTTTTTAAAAAGTGAAATAATTTGTATTTTCGGGCGTGAGCAGAGGTGTCACCGGAATTTTTTCCGAAAGGAGGAAGGGAAGTACCCATGAGTAGCAAACTGACGAACTTTCATGCAAACAGAGTAAAAAAGAATCACTCCCCAAAAGAGTGAGTTCCTGGTAGACCGCTCCAAAAGAAACACTCTCAAAGCTAAAAAGAGTGACAGACACTGGCATGAATAAAACGCTTGAGGGCGCTATGTCAAAATGTCAGCCTAGCTCGGCACGTGTTGTCGATCGCATGATGAATTACATGAAGTTATTAGTTAAAAGTTATTACTTGTAAGTGCCAGAAAAAAAGCAAAGATCGTCGTGATGCCTGTCGACAACAAGCGAATTCCTTGTCCACAAGAGACATTTCAACCCCAGCTCTACTGCAGAGCGACGAAAAAGAGAGAACTGGTGATGTATATAGGCCTATAAGTTTCGTCCAAAGTTCGTACTACATGTATGATGTACTACTACATAGTAGTACCACTGTAACAGACTGCGGTCTACCATTGCCTACCTAGCCCCACTAGTGAGGCACGGACTCTCACTCCCGCTCCATTCTTAGCCACACATCCGTATACGCAATTTTGTGTCGGCGTACTGAAAATTTTCGGCTGTTCCATGTCAAGACATCTGAACTGCTGCCAAAGTTTTGGAAGAGCCCATTGGCATGATTGGTACATGTAGTATCTTATCACTCAGTCCGTGTATTGTCTTGACATGGAACAGCTGCGAGACGATGAGGGGTCAAGTGACATAATGTTCAACAACCTTATTTTAAAGATGGCGACTGTGAGAGTGAGAACGTGAGATTGAATGGGTGACGGCAAAAGACTGGAAAATACCAGAACAACATGAGTGAAATCTTTCAATATATGGTGCTAAGAAAGCGGATAGGCTAAGGATCATCTCTGTGTGCAAAAGAAATTGCGCCCACGATGATAATGGGTGCACCAAAAATGTTCAATATGCCGACACAAAATTGTGTATACGGACGTGTGGCTAAGGATGGAGCGGGAGTGAGAGTCCGTGCCGCACTAGTGGGGCTACGGTCTACCATACCACAGCACCACACCAGTGTTGAGTGTCTACTGTACGAGTAGGCCCTTGGAATCGTGGGCATGATCAGGAATTGATAATAACAGTGATTAAAGGGTATATGTATTTTTGCAATTGCAGTTTTATTTTGTCATATGTTCATGCAGTCCTATCTATTCTGGCGGTTAAGAACAATTGACTTAAGCCTACAATTTAAAAGGCTACATATGCATGACATGAGACCCTTATTTAACAATAGCATGACTTAGTTTAATCTGTCTAGGGCCTACCATTTCTTGCCGGGAAGAATTCCATATATTACAGACACCCATTAAACATGTTAAATCACTTTTTTTGCTTGTTGACAATGGCAATTGACGTGTCAGCCATCAAAGAGCAATAACATGTCCTGAAAAGCAAAGCTAAGCAGGGAGAAACACTGAAGCATTTTACTCAGAAAAGAAGTCTCATAGGTTTTGTGCAAAGGGTTTCAAGTGATGTCCAGGTACATGTATGGAACCCTTTCCATCCTGCCTAATTTGCCTGTTTGCTCTTTTACTGCAGCTCCATGAAAATGGCAAGAGGACAGACAACAGGGCACTGGATGACATTAGGCCAGTCTGTAAGTCAAGCAGTTCAAGGAGTAAATGTGGGAATTTTCCATCAGTTTTGAAATTAATTGTCAATGTTATACTTGACCATGTGGAAGAGGTCATTTTGTGTTGAATGTTTTGTAATTATTGTACTTTGATTGATCGATGAGCTGCAACTCAGTTTTGTTTGATGAGACATACAAATATCAAGTTTGATTTGTTGTCTCACGTTCTCAGTTTCCCCACACTGCGGGCTACATTGATTCCAATTGCCCAAAGGCAACCTGGTGTAATTTTTCACACAGTTCTGAAAGCTGGTGTTGTGAGCCAGGCACGAGGCTCCGCCTACATAGAGGCATGCAACACCAAGGTGATCTGTGCAATCTACGGTCCGCACGAGGTGCAGAGGAAGGAAGGGTTCAGCATGCAAGGCACACTTCGCTGTGAGTTCAAGTATGCGACGTTTTCCTGTCTAGGGAGACGGCAGCATCAGACAGACAGTGAGGAGAAACAGATGGGGTTGGTGGTAGCGCAGGCCCTGCAACCTGCGGTCTGCTTGGTAGGTAGATCTTAACTGTACTGAGGTGTTTTATATAGGCATTTTTTTTTTATAGGAGTTTAAGTCTTAACCTTAACCCTCCTTTGATTTAACAGCACAAATATGCACAAGTGCCCACAGTCACTCTCTTGCATGTGTTTTCTATGTGGAACACAAACATGCACAGGTTCAGCGTGTACACAGTTGGTTGCCAGCACAAAATGACACAGGGTGACACAGTACTCTTCACTGCATTTGGTTTACAATTATGCACATGAAACAGTGAGGCACAGTTGTTGGGCAGCACAAAAGTGCAATCTGATATTCCTGTGAGGGACTGTTGGTGCAGTGCACAACACAACACAGCTGTGCTTCTTTGAGGTGTTTACCAAGTGACCCAAAGAGTGACTTCAGCATAGGAGGGTCAATGTACCATAACTTATATTTTGAAAAAATTGATTGTTCTCGTTTTTGTTGTGTAAATGACACTGCCCCTGGATTTGCACAATTAGTCAGATGCACTACACTCGATCAGCTATTGATCATTAATCAATGCCATCAGTTTGTGCAATCTGTGAGTTTTTTTCATCATAGCTGCATGATTTGGCAATTCAATAACTAACCAAATGAGTGATTAATGAAAAGTCAACCTAATTGAAGTGTTATTTTATTTCTTTCTCAGCACAAGTTTCCCAAGTCACAGCTAGATGTTTTTGTGACAGTCCTGCAGAATGATGGAAGTGGTAAGTGCAACATGGTTTAATTTAAAAAAAAATTGTCGCTAAATTTTTCATATTTGTTTGTTGAAAATTAAAAAAACATATTGGGTGAGTTCCTCTTTGCCAGTATTAACCCTAACCCCTTTGGGTGTATGTAAAGTCATATTGAAATTGGAGGATTTTGGCCTGTTAGGGTTAACGAACAGATGTTGGTAACTATTCATCTTTTTCAATTCACCACATTTATTTGTTTGATAACGATGATGTGCTTTATGTATGTGTACATTGAAAACAACCATCAATTATGTCTTCATCTTACACGTTTAAAGGTATACATGTTTATATGTCAATAACTCTAGATACCTTTAAAATAATGTTATGGCAGAGTTCTGCATGTTTTATTGTCATTTTTCATTTATTAAAATCCTTTTTCTTTTCAGTGATAACCCAACAACAAAACACTTGTAAATCTTGGTTTGAAAGCATAAAAGATGAAATTCTAGTGAAAACTCTAAAACAATATCCGTTGAACATATTTCACACGGGCCTTAATCTGACAGTTTGTTTCCCAACATCTTGTAGTTCTGGCAGCTGCGCTGACCTGTGCCTCAGTTGCTGTAGCAGATGCCGGGATAGAGATGTATGATGTCGTCATTGGATGTTCACTGGTGAGCTTGATTCCTTTTAAAAACAGCTACTAAGAGCCTTTCAGCATGCCTTTCACTCCTTCGTGGTCTGTACTTCTATGCGCACGACCTGCAGGTGTTGTGTGCTTTAAGTCCATATAGCACTGTTGCAGTGCTTTCTGCAAGTCATAGCTACATGTGATAAAATCTCAAGATTGGTATGAACCCATGACCTCGTGCTAACAAGCTCTGACTCCATTGGACTCCCAGAAAGCCCAGAGAATACAGCATGAATGTATTAGAATGAGCACATGATTGACATCTTTTTTCATTTTTTGATATATTGAATAAAAACAATTTTGGAAGTTCAGTTATATGTATTGTGATCCAAATGACATCTGATGGCCAAATTTGGATTGACCATGATTTTCTGTGGTCGGGAGAGATGACTACCCCTCTTGCATTGCTTCACACTTTCATCTTGTATCTGAAGTTTTGAAATCTTTTAATCTTACTCTCTGTACTTTCCTTTTTCTTTCCTCAACGATAGCGCCAGGCTGGCGAGACAACATCTCTACTCGACCCGGCAATCCTAGAGGAGTTTCACAGTCGATCAGTCGATGGGGATGCTAGAAATCATGGCTCAGTGACAGCAGCCTACTTACCGTCACTTAATCAGCTGTCTGCCTTTCAGCAAACAGGAGAGATAGAACCCGAAATTGCCACAAAGGTGAGTGCAATGGACATTGCTATTTCAGGTGTTTAAGCGTGTTATAACTTTAACTGGACAGCAAAAAAACTTTGCCACTTCTGTCAAAGGCCACACGTAAAAATTCACTGCATAGAAATAAACAATTTTTGTACACAGGTATGCTGCAATACCCCTTTCTAATCACATGCCCAAAAGCAAGTGATTATCTTTATAACAAAGAAGAAATTGACATGCACAGCAACTTGGTTACTGAATCAAAAGTCACACACAGAAGCACTCTCCACCAAGCAAAAATGACCCATGAATGGACAAGATTTTAAACAACCAATGACAAAGTGAACACCTGTTTTGTCAAAGTGATGTGCATGAGTGGTTTCTGTATAGGGATGCCATCCTTACTGACTGTGCTTACACATTACTGAAAAGTAATGACTAAGACTTCTTTATTTCGTCCTGTGACATTGATTTCCGTGTAAAACGTACGGCTCATTCTGTGACTTTTGATTCAGTAACCAAGTTGCTGTTCATGCCAATTTCTTCTTGGTAATAAATATAATCACTTGCTTTTAGGCATGTGATTAGAAAGGGGTATTGCAGCATACCTGTGTACAATTTTTTTTTATTTCTATGGAGTGAATTTTTACGTGTGGCCTTTGACAGAAGTGGCAAGTTTCCTTTGTTGTCCAGCGTGTATTCTTGTATGTATGTAACTCTACTGTAAATTGGCCTTTCTCCATCATGGCCTCTATTTTGAAAAAAAAACATTGGGGTTACTTACCGGTACTTCAATATTGTTGCAACTTTAATCAGAACAATTATATCCAGAAAAAGGGATGAATGACGCAGTCTTTTTTTCTTGTGTCGGGCAGTGTTTGCATAAGTGCGTTGACGGCTGTGTAAGGATATTTCCCGTTGTGAACCAGTGCCTAATAAAAGCCTCCAAACGCAAAGCTGAGAAATCTCGCCAAAGTTCTGCGCAGGACGACGTATGATGAAGGCTGGTGGATGCCCCGCTGGCGTCAAACTAGTGATGCAGGTTACAACTTCTGATATCATAGAATTTCACCCGGCGTGGAATATCTAGCAAGGTATATTGATATATCTGACGTCTATTTCGTGATAAATGCTTAGTTTTACAGCTTTGATATTGTGTATATACAGTGTGTGTATAATTTGTTGTAGGTGTTCGGCTGGCCTTATTGCACCAAAGCAATGTAGTACTGCAGGGTGTCCCAGAAAAAAACAAACCCTGGGGAAAGGGGTTGATATGCCCAAACCATGAGATATGATTATAATGTATAAGGGTCTCCGAAAAGTAGAAGCAGTATTCTTTCTAATGATACCTTGATGGTATCCCTCTTGTCATGCATGACTGAACACCATTGTCTTGGAAATGGGACATCCGAACTCAGTTGTAAAACTCTGGATAAACCAATGAATGAGGTTATCCTCTGTCATGCTTGTCCTGGGTAAGATGTCAGGGCCACACCGATTATTTACACATTACGTAATTCACAGTTAATTATGCACCAACACCTTCCGCGTGTCCAAGTCCATTCCTCCTGCAACTGGTTCCCCTTGGCTGTTCGACAAGTTGCTGTCGAACTGCAGCAACGTTTTCAGGAGATGACCCTGATTCAAATTAAGGCTTGTCCCATGTTCTCGGAATTTTATAGAAACTATTTAGATTTGTAAAAATATCAAGCCGGAGTGTGTGAATCTGAACTTCTTGCCAGCGTGAGAGGTTCCACGTGTTCATGTTAAGGGAAACAATGGGTTGTATTTTTTAAGTAAAGAAGCTTTAGAATTATTCCATTCCCGTTGCCACTGTTGCTTGATGCAACTTTGAGTTGATGTTTAACTTCAGGGTTTGTTTTTTTCTTGGACACCATGTACAGCTGTCACGCATGACAAGAAGTAACATCTCTCAAACTGTGTGATAGTTGCCAGCTTAAGGTCTCATCTTCTCATGTTTCAGTTATGTACATCAAGAAAACCCTAGAATTTGCTACACAGTCTCTCATAATTAGAGTTGTGTTTTTTGTATATGTCACCTGCCATTTTATGACATAAAACTTCGGTTTCTCAGTTACTTTATTACTTGTCCATGTACATATGAAATGTGAAATTCGTCAAGGTAGAAACACATTGTCAAGTTTTAATAAATACATTTATTAACCAAATCTTAACCACTGAATGATAAACACGAAAAGAATTATGTGCACTACGTTTAGTGATGCACACAATTTTAAAAAATGGTTAAATATGCAATTCACAAGGCCTGTTACATTCCTTTGTCACGGTTAACCTCTTCTCTTAAACAAGAAAAATGCTTCAGGTCTTATTATCGTTCTTATCTTACAATTGGCACTCAAAATACAAATGAAAATTTCCGAACATGTCGGCCATGTGAAGTTACTGAGTTGCTACGTGGAAATAAATTTGGGATAAAACGCCAAGCACGGTACATATCCTGCACGGTAACCTTTGATTATATCGCGGTTTTGTCCAAAATCCGGTTTATTTCGTTGTTATGTAGCCCTTTGTAGCTTGTGTGTCATTCCATGTTTGGTCTGGTTTCATGTTGTCATGTCTCCCTTCCGGTCAGGCTGTCTCTCGGGCCGTCATCTTTCAGAGATTTGGTCTTCTCAAGTCAGTCCGTCAAGCAGTCGGGTGTTGTGTAGTTGAGATTCCGAAACCAAATCTGAAACAATTCGACTTTTTTCTTTACCACGTCAAATTTAGTGGTCCCTAGTTCTGCATGGCAGAAATGATAGGATTTTACTTTCAGTAACCAGTCAATGGTATTGTTTTCATCTGAGGAACAATACATGTATTGGTTACTTTGTGTAGAAGGCTCGAGAGACTCTGTCAAATTTAGGTTCTTCATCTGCCTTGAGCAGAAGCACCCCCTCATCGGTTCAAAAGAGCCATGTTGGTTGGGAGTATTCGTTTAGCGACGCGACCGTTACACGTGCATTTCATAGTTGAACCAGCGATCGAAGTGCAGTTCCGACTGAAGGAGCTTCCGTTGCTAGGCGAATTGCGCCCTCTCTTGGTCCAGCTCAGGGCTCATATATACATTGTAGATAAAACTCCCAAGGTACATCATGAGTGATGATCTCATCACCTTTGGAGGTACCGTACAGCGTGTTTCTAAGTGTTTTGGATTTTTGGTTGTAACGGTGGAGACGACGTGAATAAAACGGAAGGGCAGAAAGCTTTCATTGTATCTCGTGAACCATTAAGTTAGTTACGGGAGTGCTGGTACATTCACGTAAGCTAACTGCTCCCTGGATCTTCGTGAGACGTGCCGTCGGTGTTAGTGCCCTCGTCTGCAGATTCTCCGTGTTGTCTGCTCTGTCCACTGATTCCAGCCGTCTCCAGCTCCTTTATAATATCATCCTTCTGTAAGAGCAAGGCAAAGGTCATAGGTCACGGGACAGAACTTCGGGAAGTAGATAACTGCACTGAGCCAGGATGTGCAGATAAAGCTGTTACATGTAATTGATTTAGGGGGTCTCAGAGGGAATGGCTGATGTGATGAATGTACAGGGACAAGCCCTCATCACCAACATTTGTATCACTGATAATGCTCCGGCAGGAAACGAAATTCATTTTTTTTTTATTGTGAAGTAGCTGAAGTTAATTACAGAAGGCGGGTGGCCGCATCAAGCACACCTGAATCAACCCTTGCCAGAAGGAGTAGAGAATTTTTGCAATACGAAAAAAATGTATTCTGACTGTCTGATATGGATACTTATTCTTTTGAATCATTATTAACTATGCTTCATTATTTTGTTACTATAAACGAATAACATGAAACCACGTATTTGTTGGTGAATATATCCATCTAGATGTTAACACTTTTAAGAGTAATTCGTGGCAAGAACGTGTAAGTCATATCTACGGTCAGTCTTAGAAATTGGGTTTGAGACTACATTATACTCGACCTTAACGAGTGACGTCTGTAACCTCTGGATCATCTCACTGAGCATGCGTATTCGCCTGTCTGAGTCGCTCTCTCCTTCCTCACCACTTTTCATGGTGGACAGCATGGTGCCCTTAGGGTGAATTTCATTGCGTGCTCTCACCTGGTGGGAAAAAGAATCACAGGGTGATCGATTGAAGGCGCTTTAAGGACGCCATCATGGGGCAATTCGGAACGACGACCATTTACCAACCACTTGCCCTTTGCAGCCTCCGAGCGAAATATATCCTTGGGTACCAAGGCAAATCGACTGGTGTTTAACAAATGGTCGTCGCTCCAATCTGCCACTAGAGACAAAACTTGGCGCTTGAGCACCTCCACATCTGGAAGTAGTTGCACCAACTACATATCCCTTGGCTGTTCTGATTATTAATGACGTACGAATCACTTGCTGCGGCCCAAAAGACCACGCGCGCCTATGGAAGCCTGCAGCTAGCGGCTTCATCCACTTAAAAAAAAACACGTTTTGTTTTCAGTCGTAGCCAATTAATGTCCATGGTTCGCAAGATGCATCAGTTGTCAGCTGCCTTTTCAATGCACAGAGACTGTTTTGTCCGATTGACATGTATTCAGACTTCGGGGTTATCATAAGAAGAGAGTTTGGCATGGATTAAATAGAAACCCTGTTTTGATTTTGCAGTTTTTTCTTGCTATCTTATGTTGCCAGCCATTGTACTTTTTTCTAACAAACTAAACGTGTCCAGTTCTCGTGCTGCATAAAAGAAGAGGAATGCTGCCCTAATGTTGTTTCGGAAGAGAATCTTGTGTGGCGATTGGAAAACGTACCTTTGGCACGAAAACTAGGCACAGCGTTAGCGTCGTCGCAAACAAAGTAAAGAAAGACACGATGGCGTAACGGGCGTCAACCTCGTCCAGGATCAGTGACACAGGGACAACGGTGAAGGATAGGATGACAGTATTATACACACTCATTCCTGTTGGACAGGATCGTTCCCAGAAAAACATTCAGTTGGTTTGAGGATCCTGTATAATATTGCTTCTGTGTGATTGGGTGTTATTCCGACCAGTGACTGTGTCAATATTTGTTAATGTAAGTGTAGTAAAATAAATACTCGGCAATAGTCACCTTTTGGATTTGTGAGATGCTACATATATGCTTGGATGACAGTGGGATTGTTTACGAGACCTCCTTTCTGTTTGATTTGGTGCCAGACTTAAACGGTAGGGTATGAGTAATGTGTAAGATCGTGCTGACCCCGGAATCGGCAAATACATGTAGCAATTTGAATTGCATCTATCTTCGCCCGACACTCACCAATGTATTTGGAATCGTTTAAGGCTGGTACGGTAACTTTTCTCGTTTCCCAGGCTAGGAAGGCTCCGAAGATGAGCAGTAACCCGTCAATGCAAATCAGAGTCCCGACCCAGTACACCTGCCATGTTGACTCGCAGGTCACGTGGACAGGAATGATGACGACATCAAGGTCATCTGTTTGCTGATAATTGTACAGAAAAAAATCGTACAACGATAACGTGAAACTATAAGCGTATTGTTTTAAGTGGAACGAATAGACTTCACACCAACATTAGCCTCGACGAATGGATCCTACTCAAGTAATCTTGCACTCCAGCTTGAGAAAATGATCGGGTGAACCTTTGGAATTCTTCATTTTTTTGTCACAGTATGGCCGCTGTCCTAAGCCACATCGTCCTCATGTCAACTGCGCTGTTTAGCCGACAGTTTGCAGAATTCTGTAAACGGATGTGTTTTGCAGCATTATAGTCTACCACACAGTTCAGTAGCCCGTCTATAGTGCATATACACTGTATGACATTCTGTGTTCAGGTCAGAATACTGCCCGAACCTCACCGTTAGCTGTTCGGTTGCTGATTGATTTACTGATCAGTGGATTGCTGGTTGTTTGTGTTGGTTGATCGACTATTTAGTGGATTAAATGGTATAATGTGATCATTGTGGTGATCAGTAGATTGGTGGTTGGGTGTTTTAGTTAGCCAACTTGTAGATGGATTGGGATTAGTGTCTGTTACTCTGCGGATTGGTGGTAATGGCTACCTTGTTGATCAATGAATTAGTGGATAGTGGTCGGTTACATCCATCACCCTATGTAGCAATATGATCGTACTAATCTACCCACCTCTCTCGCTCCTTTTCTCTCAACTATCTGCAGTGGATCCACGACTTCCCAAATTATCAAAACTAGAGTGATGATCAGGACTAGGACAGCAACCATCACATATAGCTGGTAGTCTTTGATAATCTGTTAAATTGGAAAGAATACACACAGATTGCGAACAAATACATGTATTTAACCCTCAGAGTAACATCACATTTTCTCTTGAAGACCGTGGAAGAAGGTTGAAAACAAGAGTCATTGTATTTTTTAAATCACAGGAAACTGTGTATTTCGGTATTTCAAAAGCAAAGCTATTTGAACACAAAAACACTACGTTCACTGTACGGCTGCCCTGATAGACCGGCCTATCGCGGAATGACTATTCTGGAATGACTGTTGACGCACTCCATTGATTTGAGGCATGTACTCCTGGAAAACCGAACTGTCTCATTCAAATTTAAGAAGGGAATAAGATGTTCTCGGCTAGTCTTTAAGACTGGTCATATTCATGAATATGCAGTGTAGTCAGGAGTACCAAGAAAACTGTTACTTCGATGATTCACGTGTCTGTGGACTCCATTGTGCCCCTAAGTGGTAACCAAGAGAGTATGAACAGATTGAACACCATTTCTGCTGTGCACCTGCCCCAAGTCTGCACGCTGCCGCGTTGTGTGCATCAAGGGGAAAATTTCACTTTGCATGCGCGTAACCAGAGTGGGCAGCAATTTTTTCCGTGGGGGGGGGGGGTTGAGTCTAAAAGGTTGAATTGGGCATGTGTACTTTTGATAGGAAGGGGTTGGGGGCAATTATCATAAATAGGGTGGACAAACTTTTAAGTATAACATACAACAAAATTGCTTTTCTGGTCGAGTCGCACGGTAGCTCAGAAAAGCGCGACACTTGTAAGCGGCAAGGTTCATGTGTGCAGTTATGATTTTTGTTCTTGTCGGGAATTAGTTGGTTGGGGGATGTTTTTGTAATAGAAAAGTAGAGCCCAACATTTACCTGCGAACTTTAGTTTCTAAGTGTCCACGTGATTGATCGAGCTTGCAGTTAACCACGCCCATATATGACAATTGCCCCTCAACCACCTCCGGAAAAAAAATCGCGAGCAGGCAGATTCTATCCCAGGCACTGAACCTTCCATTGATGACCACAGCCCAATCTGTTGGAATTTGCAAGGAGTCCAGTAATTCATCTCCTTACATTGACAAGCTAAGCATTGTCATTAGCCTTATGCCGTAATAGCCATTAGCCTTACGTCTGAATGTGATTTTGGCAGGTGATTCTCATTAATCATTAATCGTATCTCAAGGTTGACGGTCATAATTCATTTCGTATCCCTTCATCGGGGTAGTAAGTGCAGAGAGCTATTTTTTGTAGCCAAACGTCCGGAAGTGTGCGATTGTCTAGGGAAAATACTTAGCGTATTCGGAAAGTTTACCGTTTTCATCATGGCTTTGCTGGTAAAAATCTTATGCACACGCCAGGTTTTGCTGAACATCGCGCCAAATGCCATAGCGAAGCCAATTCCCAAGCACCATGTATTGGCCTGAAATACAAAAAAAAATCTTAGATTCAGTAATCACAGTCTGTGGTGAAAAGAGTGTACGTAATTGGTACGGTAACAAATCTGCGTCATGGTCTGATCAAAGTGTGACTGTCATGACTGTTTCTTAGACATTTAATTTAATACCAGTACTGTACCAGATTACACTGCATTTTCTGTTTTGCACTGTTAGTATTTTAATTAGCTCAACAGCGAGGAGTATTCAGTCTGCACATTAGGGAGTAAGGCGTATTGCAACTTCAATAAACAGTTGAAGGTGTCCTGTAATAAACGAGAACAGTGACTCTTGTCATTCCCTCGGCAGAGTATTTCCATCCCAACGTGTTTGCGTCCCTCAGCCTTTAGACTACATATACTTTGTTGGTCGTCAGTCAGTCCGAGAAAGTTCAGGAGATTTCGCCACAGAATAATTGGCAGACAATCGTTGAGACATATCGCTTCCAGGCTCGTAATTACGTAATGTCCATAATGGCGCAAGTTAAAAACTAAATATTTAGTACCAGCACGTCACAGCTGAATTTTGCGCCATGCTCCCAGAACGAGGACATAGGAATGCTAACTGATATTTGATTGGTTTGTGCCACATATAACCCATTTTGTATCACACTTTCCATGACGTGACTGCAGTGAGAGTTCGAAACGTTTTGTTAAGTATCTTTGGCAGATTTATACTTCGTATTGTGTATCACACTGTTGCCTGCATACAAATGACACACGGAGGTGTATGATGACGTATGTAGTAGAACAGTCATTCAACGCATTAAACGCTCCCAATCACAAGCTGACGGAAGGAATAATGAAGGCCTGTAGTGAAGGTACCAGTCAGTCTTATGTTTTGTACCAGAGACGTACCTTGCACATTGAGACATAGGAATCAAAGTGAACTCTGCTGGTGTCCAGACCGTTGAAGTAGATTGACACATAAATCAGGATACCTCCAACAAGAATGAGGTTGTTGATTTTCGGGCTAGACATCTTGATAAATCTGACTCGGAAAATAAAAATAAATCGCCAATGATTTAAATTGAAAAAGCAACTACACCCACTTGAATGTGCAGGGAGGCATTTTGGTCTTACCAAGATCTAATTATTGTATTTCTTTGAGGTTTCGTAAAAAAAATAGAACATTCTAATTCCGGAAATCCCAACATTTTTTGTAGTTCACATCAATTCTTTCACCAACAGTCTAAGCGCCCCCGAAATCATTTCTCGACGGCGCTGACTTTTTTCAACGAAAAGGACAGCATTCACATATGACCTTAACAAGACAGACATGCGGACAAACAAATGAATGGTCTATTTTTGAAAGGTTAACTCATAAAAAATTACACGTCCCTCGCCGGATGACACGAGTACTTGATTGAATTATTTGTCAAGAAAACGGATTTCGTACCGTAGCTTTTAGGAACTAACCCCTGAATGTGATTATATAGAAAATGGGATATTCACGATGCGAGTGACATACTCAAAAAAGTCAACATATCCCACATCTGGAATATAATTGGGAACCAAATTAAGTTTTAACTTTTCTTCAGTTCGATTAGCTCATTGAATCACGGATTATCACGGCGATAATTTGGACATTTAATGAAAACTACGAAATTTAAAGGTCACATTTCATCGGTTAAAAAATAACACGCCACATGTGATCTTTTCAGGTGGGTTCATAGCGCAGTATTCGCAACAGAAACCCATTAAGTTCTTATACACTTTTGTTGTTAATGAAACTACGTGATTAAAACAATGGGTATTATTGTATGACATGTTAAGTTATTCGTGTACTTAAATCTGATCTATTGACCCTTCAAAAACAGACATGGATGTCAACATGGATTCCCATCAAATAAAAGTAATCAACAATTAAATCTGAAATTAGGAGCATTCAGCGGTTTCCTGAAACAGAATTTCAATATTTTGACGTCGTGGAAGACCAGAATTAAGATCACAGTGTTTTTGCCAATTCAAAAGTGCGGGTTTATTTACTTGTACGCACGTAAAATCCAGCAAAGTCGCGTCATAGGTTTAAAAATAAAGTTTGAATGAAGAAATCTTGTCAAAATGTACACATATGCCAGTGTGCCTCGAAATCGACCGTATGAAGTAATTTCCTACGGATTTGGTGGTAACAAAGGCGTACCTTCTCTTCCTGAAGCGCACATTAAAGGCTAGAAATCCTAACGCTAGCAGGATACCCGCTGTTGCCAGCGTAGATACCCCGATGAACAGACCGTGTGAGATGGTTTGTGGTATTTCTTTCTCTTGGATAGAATCAGCCGGGGGCTTGCCGCCTGTAGTGACATGTGCAAAATTTAGAGTTAAAAGTTCATGTCTTGTTCATGCTGAGCCCTACAGTAAAACCCTGAGAAGGGTTCAACCATCGACAACTTAAACGATTAATACGGGCTTTTCACAGTAGTGCGCCTCCAAGAGTTTGCAACGCACTGGCCAATCATGATGCGCGAAATCTGTCGACCCAATGCGCGTTTGGAAAGGGTCGACAGATTTCACGCATTGTGATTGGCCAACGCGTTTCAAACTCTTGGAGGCGCACTATTTTGAATAGCCCGTATTGATGGAAGGTTGACTACTTTTAAGAGTGTTTGTGCCTACTCGATGGAGGCTCTGTGACTTGTGCAAATGGGAAACGACCACGAAATTCATTGATTCATGTGATTTATAACATTAATTGGAAATCAGATTATTTCAAAAGGGCCTGGTGGATGTATTTGTGTCGAAAGTAATTCTACCTTAATCCCTTGGTAGCCTCTGACTAACTTTTCACCATAAAAACAACAACAACAACAACAACAACTTTGAAAGGCCCTTTGAAGCCAAATAATGTTCGGCTCAATACAGGTTCATTACTTTATTTAAAAAAAAATGTACAGCCAGTAACGTACCTTGCCAGACAATCGGTGGATCATTTGTCCACTCAAGTTTGTTCTCTTCCAGGGATGAAGGATGATAAATCCCCACCCGGACTTCAGTTTCATCTAAAAAGGGGATAGAAAAAATCAAGGATCAGAAACTCATTTTTCACAAAATCCCGGAGACAGCAAGCCTCCGGTGAGTGCTCGTAACTATTTCCTTCGAAAGCAATTTCTTTTTGGTGAAGGGTCTATGACACGACTTCGACTTCAGAAAAAAAATTCCCAACATTCCCAAACCAGACCGAAGTAGGCTATTTTGACGTTTAGCAAATCCTGTCCTCCACTGTTAATTTTCAAACTTCAAAGTGAAAACTTTGTCTGCAAAAAGCATTGATGGTCGTGAAAGTTGGAGAGTGTGTTCATAATATATGTATTGGAATTTTTTTTTATATAATAACTCAAATTCTTCAGCCCGGTTTTGGAATGGTTGGGCTCACATTGTGTCCAGCCTTTTGTTCCTCATTAATAATGTAAACTATTGGCTTTTCTTTCTCATAGAAAAATGAAAAAAACCAAACCACTTTGTAATAATGTTCCACTTTCCTGACGAATAGGGGTACTCGGTTTTGATTTGATTCCATTTCCATGAAATAATTTTTGTGTGTGTTGAGGTACGTTTTAGAATGTAAACAACAAATATGCCCACTCCAAAGGAAGTGTAAGTTGGTGTTCGCATGAAAACAAAAAGGCACCAAATGCCCTGGATATTGCAAAACGAAAATTAAAAATATTCAGGTTAACATAAAAGTTCTGCTGCACAGAAAATCTACATACACCACGTGACCCTTTGACTTGTTTTAAACGCCCTCCGAGTCAAAACTCAGCTCAGTTTACATCTTACCTTGCTGTTGTTCAACTTGCATCAGTCCCTTTCTGTCACCATCGAATGTAAATTGTACAGGTCCCTGTAAAAGGAAAATATAAAAATGTGAGCAAAGTATGTACTGCCGTAGATTTACCATATACATCTCTAAATAGCTTATTTCCCCGCCTGATTCTTCGTTGGTATCGAGGTCAAAGTACTTAGTGTTGGATGCGGGTTGGTCGTTTCTGGCTATCATTAAGTCCATTTTAAAATAAAAAGTACGGCTTTGAAAGTAACGTTAAATGTGTTTTGCATATTGAACGGAAAATGGAGGCACTTTTAATACACACATAAATGTAGTTTGGTTTGTGGTTGCTATTGTTAGAATTTTGATACTGGGATTTTTTTGCATGATGGTCACTGCCGTTTTTCCTGAAAAAAAAGTTTGATTCCTTACCGACACGCCTTCAAAGTTTGTTGCATTCATTATTTCAAAGAATAGATTTGCCATCTCTTCGTCCTCGTATGAAAAGTCTGCAATCGTCCTGGGCGGATCTAAAACCAGTTCAACAATGAATGCTTAGGTTTATCTTAAAATCTCACATCAGCTTCAGCCTACAAACGAAATGCATGGCTGAGCTATTGTGCTATTTTGCAAGCATCCTGATTTGAATTAACTCATCACTTAATAATGCGTGTGAAAAACATTGTTGCAGTAAAAATAATGCAGAAAAGGAAGGTACTTGTGAATTTGCCCACCATTCCTTCACAGGGCCACGCCTAATTTGCACACTTGTGCAGCACGGAACATCCATCTTGCAGTGCACTGTGTGAAGTTTGCATTCCTAAATTTACATTGGCAAGTTCGTGCGTTCTTTTTTAGTTTATTCGTGCGCGCATGAGTACAGTCACACTATTGATTTCCATTATATAGACTATAATGGAGATCAATGAGTCACACTCAAATGATCCTATCCGCTCCGAGCGGAACAAAAGAAGGCGTGTTTTTATAGTACTCACCGCAAAGGCGCGCGTTTATAATGGGGTCAATGACGTGTTTCACGTGGAGCACACAGTACGCGTAACGAATTTATTTCTTATATAATAGAGTACCGAAGTGAATACGTCACGCGCACAATTAGAGTGTAAAAAGCATGAGCGCATGAACCAACACGCTTGCGTACTTCATTCCTTTGCACTGCACTTTCTGGTTCACAGTGACGTCACACTTCGGTACTCTATATATCCGGTTCGTAAGTGTGACGTCACTTCAGTTTAAACCAAAGATCGTATAGCGCCGCGTAGCGGCGCAAAATGGCGAACTTCACCGTGAATACACGTAAAACGTTGTAATCGCATGGGCGCCATTTGAGCAAACGATATGCCTGTGCAATGCACACTAATGCAAATGCGCAGGCGCCGCAGCAGGCACGTGCATCTAGTGAGCCTGCGTCGAAGCATTACCGTAAACTGCGCAAGCGTATCGCTTGCTCAAATGGCGCCCATGGTAATTACAGCTTTTGGGCAGAGTTATTCATCTTGCGCCTTCGGCGCTATACGATCTTTGGTTTAAACCACGCCACTGCACACGTGCACTGCACATAGGGGTTACATGCATTGATCGCCGTTTACATGGAACCGAAGTTAACGGGCAACTTCAGCGATTGTCAAATGAGAGCCTGCAAATAGTGGCGGATCCACCTTTGTGACGAAGTCACTTACGAACCGGATGGTCTTTGCGTACATGCAGAACGCGTGCAAGAACCAGCTTGGAAAGCTTTCTACCACCTGTCCTTTTGCCGCTTGGGGGTGACCTTTAACTCAGGGTGGATAGGGTCTGGAATTGGTTTTACGCGGATCTCGATCTTGAACAGTGGTCCTAACGCTGGTTTCCACCATCCATTATTGGGTAACTTCTTCTTTCAGTAAACCAACGACGGATCACTGATCGAAATTCGGATCCGTATGAAACAAGCAGGCCCTGTAGTCGAACTATTTCTTTTTGTAAAATCTCACCATTAATCATATTTTTCCGTTTGCTGCGACTCTCGCGGCGTTCATGGTCAATAACATCTCGCGCATTATTTAGGGGAATGATACCCTCCATACTGATAAATTCTGTTGGTTGTTTGTAACCAGCGATGCGATGTTGTCCAAGGGCCTGGGTCCAAATGGTTGGCTATAGGTGGTCCAAACCATCCATTGACCGGTCGATGCTGGTCGAACCATTGTATCGAGCTTGCCCAAGGTTGTACATTCATGGGGAATTTAGTTCGTACAGGGGAGGGATGAGTTTTTAAATGTAGTTGTCACCGTTGGTGAAGCCATATATTTTGTTTTGCCCTTAACCGTGCTCGCGAAATAAGACCCTACATGGTCGATGCTTCTTTCAAAGGGTCTTCCAACAACCTTTTGACATAGGGAAAACATGACAATGCGTGGTGGTGGTGGGGGGACCTCCAGCCTCAGTGCCTGTGTACTCAACATACCAAGACATACCATTGAAAGGTGACTTAACTAGGGGTTTCTCTGCGTGAATGAAGCACTCCCGTGAATAGCAACAGAATCAACATGCTTCTCCAGTGTCAGACGTAGTCATGTTTTCCATTTTTATTCATACAGGCTTTAGGGCCTGCCCCTTTACTGTGCCTGTGTTGTTTTTTTAGGGGGGGGAACTAATTTCGAAAAACAATTAACAGGAAGCACCGTTGACCGTTAACGAACTACCGGGTATAATGGATACTTGGCATTTTCATTACTAAAGGCTTTACAGCCTATGCCCCTATAGGGAAAGAAAGCTTGTAAATGAATGTCAATACGGAAGGTTGTGTTTTTTGGAGAAAACTAATTTGCATATGCATTAACAAGAAGCACCGTTGGTCGTTTACGAACTGCGGAGCATGATCGATACTTGGCTTAATTACAGATTCAAGCTTGAGTGCAGCACTAAAGTTGACCTGCAATTTCGTTTTATATCGGCCGGCCAGGCTTGACGTATCCGGCAATCAATCCTCGTAATATTGAGTCTCAAATAAAGAGTGACATTTGGAAATGCGGATATGAGGTGCGCCTATTTTGCTAACGGAAAGACGGCAAACGAACATCCTGACACGAGAAAGAATATTCCCGCGTCCAGAGAAGGACCGACAAGTTTAAACGACTTTGCATCCTCGCTGTTTGCCTCAGTGGCCTGCATTTAGTGTAGGGGATTTTATACGCGGTTTGGCCTATAACTCGAAGTATTTCCTGATGAGAAGAGTCGTCTTATCCCGGGACTGACCTTTAATAGTGACAAAAATTACTTCCGTCCGAGCTCTGTGACATGGTTAGGTTTCACCCACCAGCAAGATCGAATGGCATCAGTATCACTCACATAAACAAAATCCACCCACCAAAATGACGCTTGAAAGTATGTAAAAACTGACATGTCCTGATACTAGAAACTCATTAATTAAAATCCATTGCTCTTTGGAAGGAGTTCTCAAGTTTCGCCACAATTCACGAATTTCAATTATTTTAGATGTCGCACGTAGACTTCAGCTTCCGTGGCAAAGTTGGTAACCGACCCCAACGTATATTTTCCGTATTTATGAGGCTAATATTTTGCTGCATTTTGGTTAACTGAATAAACAATTTTAGCTTGCACTTAGTGTGAATATTTTGACTCGAAGGTATTGCATGATGGATGTCGGAATATAAAGGTTTGCTGCAGCATGTGAAATCTCTTGTTAACGTAAAGGCAAAATCTTAATGCGAATGCTTCTTCAAAAAGCGATTACCTGTTTTAAAGATTTTGTCGTCCCTGTCTTTATCTCCCATGTCAAAAGGGACCTTGCATTTGATATCTCAAATATTTACTTTAATACTACTTTCATTGTAGCGATTTGTATAAAGACCTAACCGCATTAAAGACATTGTTTAAAAATCACTTCACTTCAGGTTAATAAACCCTTTGATGCGTTTACATATTTTGATCTTTTTGTTCTGCACCAGTGTCTTTCGTAACCCACAGTTCATGTTTGTTCTGGATAATGCTCGTATTCGTTAGCTGCAAGTTCAAGATGAGGTTCCATGAGAATGTCTTCGCTGGCATCAGTTAAGGTGGAAATCTTTCCGATGGATCGTTATCGTGAATTGTACCTTTCTCACAAACCTGATGGATTGCGCATTGCTTTTCGAAGCTCCGCCTAATTAGGCCTACAGGGCGCGCAACGGCAAAAATCCGAGGTCAAAACCCAAGTGAAGCCAAGTTGGATTTTGGATACAGCTTGACATCAAAGATGACAGATCATAATTGACATCCTCTCTCTGTTTCTCAAAGAATAACCCACCGAATTTTTGAAGTCTTGCTTCCGCCTCCTGTAGCGCAAGTGCTATTGTCCACACACTGTCGAAACCGTACGGAGCTTCCTGGTACCCGGACAACTTCTCTGGATGCCCACTAACATACTCTCTGTACTCCTCCAGAAACTGCGCTGTCGTCTGTTGGAATAAGTGCATTTTCAAATTGTCACCTTACATTTACATCATTTGATAATTCTGTGGTCTTTACACACCCTTAGGTTATGTGTAATTCAGTTACATTGAATGAGCAAGGTGGACTTGTTCTTCGGTGAAATATTTCGTTTCTTAGAGTGGATTCCACAGTGACCGTATTTGCATGCAACAGCGTGTGTTTTGCGTCTATTTGGGAGTAAATGGTTTCACCTGCTCAAAACCAGTCCAAAGGTAAGTCGTCGTCCAGTAAGCATTTAAAGCAAAATATGGGACGGAGAGAACCCCCCCGCCTTTGTGTTGGCCATTGTTTGATTGGAATCTCAGGATTTCGTTACAGACTTCGAGGGGTGATGTGTTAGGTAACGATAGTCTAGAGTGTGTATAGGGATTGGACAGGTAAGAAGGGTACCCCTCCGTCCCATATCTTGCCTGGTATACCAGTTAAGCTGATGAGGAAAATGCATAGGGATAACGCATAACTATTACGGATGCCTAGCAACCTTCGATACAATACACGTTTAAGGTCTGGAAGATATCGCCGCTTAAGCGTAAGTGCACCACAAGCTTTCAACGTGTCTGATGTTGTACTCACGATACCAGCTACGCCGGGGGCGTTGGCAAGGCTTAGCGGCAGTGCGTCGGTGGTGAAGTAACCGCGGACGGCCTCCGACATCTCCTCCTTTGTACAGTCGTGTTTGCTGTCTTCATGTTCCCCTAACCACCACTGGTGACTGTACCATCCTGTCATTGACAGCAAACTGACATTTATAACTCAGGGCTTTTGCTGTAATGGAATAACTAACATACCTTGTACTCAATACTGAGTTCCAAGCTTGGAGGAGTCAGGTTGGTGTAGGGTATACTTCTCTTTCCCTCTGGGTTCGAATCCCAGTCGCGCCGACACATGGATTTTCCAGTCGCTGTTGAACCCCATAGGGTTTTTCCGCAACATTATCTCTCGGGTTTAAATTTCCCCCACCTCTAAAACTGAAGGCTTTTATTTACGTACGCGGTGTATTTTCGTCTTCTGAGTGAAAACAATCTTTGATGTGATATGGTTGCCATAAAATAAGTTACCACAGAAAAAAATCACGTATGGTCGCCCTGTTTTGGACCCAACCCACTACCTTCTGCTATTTAGCACATTCAACCAAAGAATTTGATTAGGTTAATGGGCTGGTTCTGATACAACATATGGCCTCAACGTGGTCACCCTATTTTACCATACTATTGGGTGGGATATGAGAACTTAATCTTATGAAAAAAGTCACGTGCTCTACGGATATTAATGATGTCGATGCATGCCTGGTACCGTACTCTATGGACACATCGCCATCCAAGCTAAAGAGCCTACAGAGCTTCAAGCTTTGACTTTTATCAAGATGAAGAAACTTTCCCAGTTTCTCGGTTTACTTTATTCATTTTTCTATCGCACTGCTATAAATTATTGTGTAACCTGAAATTTTATAAAATGGCTGATATTTCCGAGCTTTATAAAATGTAAATGCCAACGTGGACAAAATCTACTGATTTTCCAAAAGCAGTTTGCAGAATATTTTGTCAGACACAAGGCAGAATAAAAAAATGAAACGTGTCATACAAATCTTTTGTAATTTAAAACTGAAGTCATTGCAAAATTTTCAAAAGATGATTTTTTTAAAGGAAAGGACTCCAGCTTCAAGGGGGTTTATCTGCGCAGCTTTCCAACTAACAATGTACAAACACATGCAGGAATTTCATATTGATAAAATGATATGAAACGCAAGTGCCTTGCCATTTAAAAACTTCGTAAAACGTAACACGATTATGGTCCCTTTCACTTATACCCAGAAAACCCCAAGTGCTTGGCACTTCTCAACATAATGAAATTATCGAAAGTTTACAGCCATTACAGGTATGTTGCCATGTAGGCTCTTACAAATGCAAAGATATTGAACTCTCTCTGAACCCCGAACACCAGTAATAACCAATTAGCTACTGTACCCTATGATTATATATACACACAACGGCTACAGACACAATGCTCAGCAGCCGTTGTGTTTGTTGTTGGAACAATAAACATTGCCGCTTGAATTGGAAACCTGTCAATCAAACAACTCAACCGACTTTCGGTAGAGGTGAGAGAAAACCCTTTTAGCATAACTTATTTTCTACATAAACTGTATTTTAGTTCCGTTTATACACATATCCAGGACTCGTGCAATTGGGAAAAGAGATATCTAATGTATCGAAATTTTATCACATTGATTGACAGCTCTCGTCAATAATATTGCATGTCATTAGCAGAAATATCACCATTGGCTGGCGTCAGATTTTACCTCAAATAAACATTTTGCCCATTAGTTTTAACTAGAAGGGTTGTACTTTCCAGTAGTCTTTCTTATTAATTTTGTAATTAATTACTAGGTGCTTTGGTAGCTACGTAAAATTTGCACAGTTGCCAGCCGTCTGTCAGCTTGGGCAAACACCGTAACTGTGAAGTAAAAGAGATCAGACACTGTCATGATTTCTGTGCTTGTTTGTAAACTCTGTTTGAAACCTGAAATAATCATAATATATTTCCCTCGTTGATTAACGAAGAAATGCAACTGTCGCTAAACACAGACGTGTATTACTAGATCCACTCTCTGCTCTCCGGTCATTCGTCAGTTGCGTAATACCTTCCAGAGTAATCCTTTGAATTACGACCGAAAACTTGAACTATTTAAACGTGTACTTTTCATTTCGCACAAATCAATCATGGGGTTGACTTAACGGTGCAACATCAGCATGATATGGCAGTACATGCGTATGTCGTATGAATATTGCTTTCCATAGTAATAACAAGGTAACTGCTTTTTATTAATTTTCGAAAGGTATAGGGAAATTGTGCTCCACTTTCAGTCAAGATTACAAAAAATAATCCATGCCTTTTTGGCATGATTCCATTGTATCCCCCCATAAAATTGACAGGAAGATATTTTTAGCCTACCCCTTTTTATATTTTGAACAATGTAGGCCTAAAATGCCAAACATATGAATTGTAAGCGAGCATTATTTTCTGTGCAGACAGAAGACATAATCAACTCACGTCACGCCATCACATATTTTCTTAAAATCAGTGTGATTTTCGATGGATCTCCTGAAGATCTGAAGTCCGCCAGTTCAACCATTAATCAACCCAACTCATAACGCCCCGATTGCTGTTACTGATCTTAGATTCCAATTTTCAAAGGAAATGTCAGAAACGCGTGCGCATACTGCTGGCACGCGGCTGTATAGACGTTCTTTACGTGACGTAACGTGCCACGGTACGGCACGGTACGGTCACCATTTCCTCGGAGACGCGTGTTTTTTCGAATCTAGGTATTTCTATTGGCAATTTCATGAACGCCAGAATGTTCAAAGACTTCGAAGGTGCGCGCGGTTTCGCGCACATCTGTGTAAATTGAACGCTGATCGTCAAAAACAACTACTGAAAATCCTCAATATTTTCTTTTGTTCTACTTTGTTTCTTCTGAAATCTCAAACTTCACGAGCCGGATGGATGAGCAAAGCTACTTCACAACTATCTAAAGATTAGACCTACTGTACATATACCAACGATCCAATCATCGGTTATTTGGATATCTGTAACTGTCGAATACGGGTGCTTAGTTTGGATGAAGTTATCCACAGTATGACTTGGTCTGAGAGACCTGAATGGCACTTACCGGTTATGATCCAGACATATTTCTTGCCGCACATGCCTTCTTTGTAAGCCTTGCAGAATACCTGCCTCGCTTTGGTCTCGTAGAAATTACCGATGATTATTCGTGCGCCTTGTTTCTAGGGGAAGAATACGCAAATTATGAGGGAGATTTCATTTCAGTGGTATTGCGTGCTGTGAAGTGTAGCCTGGACAGTTGGCCAGAAAAGGCCGATTCAGAATTTTTGTTAAAGTTAACACAAATGTAACCTAATCAACTTGGGGCCAATTTCATAGAGCTGCTTAAGCACAGAATTTGCTTAAGCATGAAAAAACCTTGCTTACTAAACAAAGGTTACCAGCTCATGCTAACCAAAAGACAGGTAAATACTGCTCAAAAACAATATACATCACAAGAAGTTTTGGCTAGTAACCTGATTTGTCAAGCAAGGTTTTTTCACGCTTAAACAAATTTTTCGCTTCAGCAGTGCTATGGAATTGGCCCATTATTATTAAGTACACGTTCTGTTCAAGTGTCAATTTTTGAGTATGTGTAATTTACCTTCAGATTCGACACTTGGATGTCGGGGTTGTCGGCAAAACTTTCAGATGTTATTATCTCGATTCCGTTTTCTTTAGCTTGATCCAGGAAAGCAACAGTTGGCTGAAAATTAGGGAAAAGAAATCCAGGAATGCAAGTTTTTTTTCAGGGAAAGTGTGGCTCAGTGGTAGATGTAGTTCGGTTTTGTGGCTTGTAATCGGAGGGTGAGCGGTTTGAATCCAGCCATTGGCTCTGTGCTATGAGTGTGGGCACGACAAGTCCCATCTGCTTGTCTCTCTCCAACTTGGAATACCAACAGGGGTGGACCCAGGGGGCGTGGGGGTGCACGCCCCCTTTTTCACCAAAAACAAAACAAATAATATATTAAAGAAAACAAAAAGAGGGAGAAGAAAGAAAAAAAGGAGGGCCCCAGCCCCATAAATTTGACAGATGTAAAAAACACCAGTTTCGCTTTCGGAATACCCAGCCCCAATTTTACAGCCACGACCCTAAAATGTTAAGTTCACGCCCCCCTCCCCCGGACAATCCTGGATCCGCCCCTGACCAATGGTTCACAGCGTTACTTTGGAAGAATGCTGTTGTTGTTATCACCACATGGGAAACGCAAAATAGCAGTGTTTGGTAATTCCAGTTTTGGTACATTTAAGCCTGTTAGTTCGTCTTTGTTTTGTTTTGTTTTTGACCTTGTTTTGTTTGACTGTATTGAACTGCAATTGTCTTTCTTTCATGTATAATCTGTTGTCAGTCATCCTTGTCTGGTTCTTTTTTCCTGTCTAAATAAGGCATTTCTATGTAAGACTGTCTTCTGAATATGCCTCTGTTTTTGCCCCCTTTTATTTCAATGTCTTATGGTCTTATTTAATTTTCACTCTTGTAGTAAAAACCTTCCTTTTATTGACCTTTAGTTTAATCTGATATATACTCTGCACTGTGAAAAATAAGTGTTGAGTCAAAAACAAAACCAAAAACAAACAACAAAAAACCTTTTAATTTGTTTATCAGTTAAAACTGCTGGATTTCATTTTTCACCTCTAAAGAGTTATCTAGCTGTTTGAAGCGTGATTTTCTTTAGCATTATTTCTTGGTACAAGCCAAAACACCTGAGTAGAAATCGATATGATTTTTCTATAAGGAAGACTTACAGGCGGGAATAAAAAAAAGACAAAGAAGATAACCAGTCCTTTGGTGTTGCTCTGGAAGGCAAACTTTTGCCGCTGAGCAGGAACAGATGTGTATCAGGCGCGCATTACTAAATGGCAAAACATTGAATCGTAATAAGCCGTGAAAATATGATCAGGACATCGAACGCTTGTAGCTACAAAATCTAACTGAATATTCTCTTACCAAGGAGAACAAATCGATAGTTTGGTGGAGTGTGGCCACTCGTTTCCAGCCGAAGTGCTTGAGCATTGCAAACTTGACCGCGTTGAACACGGTCTCGGGGGGAAACGCCCTGAAGAACTTGGGGAAAAGGTTTCGATTGGACAAGAGCGGTGATGCCGAGGAGTAAGACAGCTGAAAGTGCGGAAGATTGTTAAGGATCAGTGATAAAGTGAGGTTGAACAAATTCAATTAGTCAGTAATCTATAATCAGTGATACCAATTTTGAATCCATAATTGTTTTAACAGAGAGTGTTTAACAGTTTATATATCTACTAAAGAAAGCGTACATTACGACAGGTGTTTAAACAAGTGTCGTCTCAGTTAACATAATTAAGATCGGCAGAATTCCTGTCAGATAAGTTCCTTTAAGTCTCTCTTAACGCTTTGACGGGTAATCACCATGCAGCAGGCACGGCTGATGAATATCCTTATACATGTACTTTGAAGACGGTGGACTGGTAACCAGGCATGCCGAAGTGGTACCGCGTTATTGAGTCATATTTACATACCTGAATCAGGTTCCAGTGGTGTGACGCCTGCGCTGTAGGCTGGGTGACGATGGAGCATCCAGCACCAAGTACCATGATCTTGGTCGTTGTTTGGTTGTAAAGCTCGCGATACATAACATCAGTTCCCTTGCCTCCATTACACTGCACACACACAATTAATAAAGCAACCATAATCTCCTAGCAGGAGCAACTAGTTAGAGGGACGACCATGCTTCACTTCAGTTCGACCAATGATGGATGGTTTGGACTATCCAGTCGACCGTTTGGGACCAGGCCCTAGGGCTTGTCATCAATAGCCGCTATCACTACAGAGGGAACCATTCATATGAAAATAATTTTACGACATTTCACTGTCCATGTACGCTAGAGAATCGCAGCCAACGGGTAAATGTGGGCAACATGAGATTTTAAATAAAGAAGGCCGGCTATAGGCCTAGGGTCGTTCGAGCGTAACTGAATTGCGTGTGCGCATCGTTGGGGGGCAGGGCGCGACGCCTGGTGGCGCACACGTTGTTTACAAGGGCACCGAAAGCAAGTTAATTGTGGCTTGCACATTGGCTGTGAACGTTTTCAAAATTTCAAATGGGGATGGGGCATCTGAGGCACGGATTTCCGCGGGGGGGGGCTGTGCTCCGTAGTCACACCACTGCCCACCAGGTACTTTTAGTTTGGGATTCGTATCAGGGCAAACCCTCATGGCTAGCAGAAACACCAGCAAAGCAACTTTCTGATTGAAACCAGTCTATTTTGTTTCGAAACTCCACCTAATGAAGCATCAAAGTTATACACATTTGCAGCATTTAGATTGGGAATTTAAGGCAGCATCATTTGGCGAGTATTTGAAAGGCAACATGACAAATGCAGTACCTTGAGGAATCCCCGCACTCTGGTATAATCTAAAAACCCTTAAATTCACAATAATTCACCAGTGATCCCTTATATTGAATCATTATATTAAGAGTCAGAAATTTACAATCCAATAAACAGCTGACACAGCGAAATGCATAGCTGCAAGCTTAGCATTTCTGTCCCCTCTTCAATTGTAACATCGGTACCAAAAAGAAACATTCAAAAAGTAAAATTTTAAGCCACCGAGGTTAACTTCCAACCACGTGAAATGCACAAGTGCATCGTTGCTCAGAGCACATGCGAGTTGATCCCTGTAGCGATTGCAGAAAATTTTCTTTCTTTGAAGTAATTGCGATTGGAAAAAAATGTATTTGCCAGGTACGGACCGACTATTTACCAAGTTTCTCATGCCTTTGGCAAATATTGAACCACATTTCAGCAATTATTTTGTTACACATTAAGCACTTCCTAGCTTTGTCGTTTACACTTGTCATTCAAAAGTGCAGGAAGAATGCACTCTGACTTAATATGCCTAATTTTCCAAACGCGGCAACAGTGGAACGCATTACATCACAGTGGATTGCATGCTTTTGTGCCCAAGCTTTATCGATTAATTATAAAATTTCTGTTCGTGTGTCTCTCAAGGAATACCCTTTTAAAATGGCTGAACTGATTACAAACCCAAGGACTTCAGCTTAAACTTTTAAACACTTTGCAACACACGCAGCTGTTTCATTTTACCATGGCAACAGCACATGCACGGTGGTGTTACTTTAATCCAAAAATCTGAGGCTCAAAGCTTTGGTCACGGAACGACGCTGCTGGAAGAGACGACGAACGGCGTTATCTTCTGTTCTGGAAATTTTCCCGGGCGTTATTCCCCGCATGCAAAGATCAATTAAGACGAAATCGATCACGGAATATGAAGAAAAAATCCTGTTTTACCGCAAGCCATAGGCCTACACGACCTTCAGAAAAAAAGGTTTCCCGAGTATCAATATGAAAATAAATTAATTCACAAAGATTTGGGGTCCGCAGCTTGTTATAAACTGGGTAACCATAAAATAAATCAAAGTCTGACAGTAATTGCTCTGTTAATTAACACAAATACTTTATCCCAAAGAGCCCCGAGCTGGACCAAGAGAGGGGGCAATTTTCCTAGCAACGGAGATTGCTTTGGTCAGAGCTGCACTTCGCTGGTTCACGAACGAGAAAGAAATGCTTGCGCTACGGTTTCGTAACTTCTAGCGAATTGAACACTCCCGACCGGCCAACCTCTGTTCAACCGATGCGGGGGTACTTCTGCTCAAGGCGGGTAGAGTCCCGAAATGACTACACCACCCGCGCAATTACGCGTGCAAAAGGCATTATAGCGCGAGAACCAGTGTGTGTACCAACACGACACGTTGTGGTTCAACATGATGTCACACTTCGGTACTCCTTATTGATGGGTGAATTATCGATCACCACATGAGCATCAAGAAAATGATTATTTTCAAACAGGTCACTTTATAATTTCACAAATCTGAACTTTACCTTCAAAGAATTAAGTTAGTCAATGAATATTATGCATACGTAGTTTGGTTGAGTTGTTCATGAAGAAGATTAATGTACATTTCTATGATAACAGTTTGTAAACCTGGATTCAATTATGCAGCAGCTTGCTTTTAACCCTATCTGGTATTCATAAGTTTCCTTTTGGTAAAATTAAAACAGTTTAAAGAAATAAATTTAAGTTGACATAAATCAAATTTGATGTCTACTAATTTTTCTACAGTTTTATGTTTAGATACAGATACACTTTTCCTCAAATTCTTAGAATGACTTCAGCTAAACAATTTCAGACGCTTGACGAGATCACCGATATATATGTCCATCTGAAGGAAATGTACTTGACAGTGGTAAAAAAAAAAAGGTCACCCGGCGGTCGGACGATACCACTGATTTAATTCTGGAGAAATTAAGCGCAACGCGGTCACTGACAAATCTTGTGAACAACCGCCTGGTTTTTGCTCTTCGTTCGGCATATTCTGCTCTTGTTCTCCGTGGTTTGTGTTTGGATGAAATCAGCAAGGCCTGGTTGCTGCGAATTTTCCACTCAAAGCTTAAACTTGGACTGGTTAGAGACCCTCAGCAATAAAGACACTCCAAGCATGAACTCCGACTTTCATCGTCTCTTGTAGAATAACCCTTCTGTCTCCACGCTCCCAAAATCAAACGTTGGAACTACTCCCACGCAAGAAACAGTATACAGCTATACGCCTCTGGGGTTGGACGAGGAAGTGATGGCTGTATCCCATGCAGAGACGCGCTCTCTTATAGATTGATGTGGGAATAAATTGGGTACTTTGGGGGCAAAAGTAACTGTTTATTCGGAGGTTTATTTTTGTCCGATTAAATGGAGTCTCGAGAGGGTAGAGATAATGAGGAAGACCTGACTTATGTAAAATCGTTGCCATGGATACCCAAGTAGTAAGTTGGGTAGGGATATTTTACCTGATTGCCTTTTCGTCATTTCAGGTTTTCGTGGGTGTATCAAGATATCACAGGTAATCACTTTGGAGCTTTGAATTACACGCCCGGCTGCAGTTTGTTACATGATTCAGACTGCAGCTACTCCATAGGACAACAATCCGTCTACAATCCCCCTTATTCATATACTTTCTAGAGCACCGTATAACCGAAGGGGAAAAAGTCCACCGAAATCTGTGTCAGGTGATTTTTACAACAGAGTCATCACTTCTCTTCCACAGTATATACAGTACATGTAAAGTGGAAAGAGCAAGATGGACTTAGGGAAAACAACATTTACCCCAAATTTTATTGTCACCACTTTTCCAAGAAGCAAACCTCAATTGTTTTGATGCCAGATTTTGTGTGCAGTTACATCATGAAGCTATCAAACGGAATAAAATGTTGATGCATTTTTTTCTAGAATTTTGTTTTGCGAGGGAGGTTCTCGTCAGAAACTAATCAAGTGAACGACGGGAGTAGTGCTGCACTGGTCAGAATAAAGCTTTCGGCGCTAAATACAGTGTTTAATTTATAAGAAATTGAGTCTCTTAGAGTTCGTTGGGTGCTGCGTACGTATAGCTCAGCAATTTTACAGATTTTGAAGCCATTTTCTCTTGGAAATTTAGGTTGCCACTCACCTCTGTGTCCCGAGGGATCAGAACCAGTTCGTATCCTGGAAGAATGTTCTTGGAGTTGACATAGTCAATGCCGAGACGCGTGGCGGGCAGTTGTCCCTGGCCGCCGGGCCAGCTGCCTGAGAACGGATACAGCCCGAGGAGGTACACCGGCGTCGCCGAGGCATTCGCGGCCGACGCGTCGGTCAGACAAAAGTGGGCCTCCACGGCACACAGGCCAAGGAAGGAGACGACCACGTCTTGAAACCATTGATACATCTTTGAGGGTTGACGTTTCTTCACACTGAGTGTCCGTACGTGCTGTACAGAACATGGCAATCTTGTTGGATTCCCTCCAAACGGATTTCGACATTTTATCCCCATCCGTCTAGCCAGGTAGCTGCGCGCTGAGCATTCTAGCAGCATTTGCACCACACAGACAGGTACCACCGAAAAGGCTAAATTTTCCAAATTTGAAGGGTGCCCTGGTTTTCCTACAACCTTGAACAAATTAGCGCATCGCCATGGCAACTCTAAGCTGACGTAAGCTCTCTTGAAAAAAAAACCTCTTCTCTGGATTAGTTTTCAAGCCCTGGCATTTGTGAAAATGAGAAGGCCAGTGAAACGACAAAAATGTGCAAGACGCCACATCCGGAATTTTCATATTTTAGTAAATCATTAGAAACTAGTAAAAGCCCTGATGTTGTGGATTGACGCAGTGTGGGACTACCAAAGGAATGTCCGGTGGAGACACTGGGCAGGGTACTCGGTCTTGGTTATGTTTATTATCTCTGCATAGATAATCTCCATCTAGGTTCATGCATGGGAAGCCCGTTCTGATAGAAAACATGATACAAAACAAGTACATGTATTTAGGAAAGGTAATCCTGTACGAGGAATCCAAGAAGCGGGCGCATTTATGTTTGTTTACGATGATGATTGAGGAATGGCATGTATTTCTGACAGTTAAGGATTCTGAGATTTTGGAATGGAATTTGGTGTCGAAATATTAATCACTCTTTATAAGGATCAGTTATCTAATTATATAAATTACTCCTTTAACCCAAAGATTAATTAAAAAGTAGTGAAACAGATTCCCTACCGTCCTTTATCCGGCCATTATTTGGTATGATTTTTAACGCTCCGTGTGTGAGAGGCATGACA